ATCAAGGAAAGTTTGAATTATCTCGCGAGATGTGATATTTTTACATTGCGTACTAGTTTTACAAAGTTTTTTTACACGGAATATAAAAGAACATGCGGCTCCATTTAAAACATGGTGCATTTGCATTTTTTACATGCATCGTTGCACTTACGAAAAAGGCAAACTCGAGATATAACCTAGTCCAATAGCGTGGTTTATCCTGTGCCCGGAGTCTCTCAACAAAATACGAGTTTTATTCTGTGGGTGAACTAACGAAATGTTTATACAAAGATTGAACGTAATAAGCTTTGCTGATTCTGTTACTATTATTAATCATTACTGTATCGAGTTTCATTTAGTTTCGGTAAGAATTTGTACAAAATTACGTGTTGCACATTTTTGAAAATATTTATTTACTTGGAAATTCGTGTAGGATCTTTTATTGACAAAGTTCGGGAAAATGCAATATAACAAAATGTAGTTTGGCAAAATTAAATTGTGGTAAATGGAGTGTTGTATGATGTGAATTATTATGGAAGTTGAAGTATTTCAATGACTTTGAGGATGATTTTTAAGAGAACTTTTGGAAATGACAATATAAGTAGCGGCAATATAACAAGAGATTACAGTAACTGTAATTTAACGTATAATTTTACGACTATTGATAAAATAATACAAAATGTAATTGCAAACGAAGCTAATGAACAACTTATTCCAAAACTCGTAAATCGGCAATATAACAAGAGACCATTGTAGCTGTAATCTAATGTATAATTCTACGACTATTGGTAAAATAACACAAAATGTAGTTGTAAACTAAGGTAATAAACAACTTATTCCAAAACTCGTAAATCGGCAATATACCAAGAGACCATTGTAACTGTAATCTAATGTATAATTTTACGACTATTGGTAAAATAACACAAAATATAGTTGTAAACTAAGCTAATGAACAGCTTATTCCCAAACTCGTCAATCGGCAATATAGATAGTGGCAATATAACGATAAACTACTGTAATCGCAGTGACATAACTCTGTGAGCGTGACGACAATCAAAAATATAATAAAACCACTGTACTGGTAAACTAATCAGCAACCACAACATCGGCGATATAGCTAGTGGCAATATAACAATACGCTACTGTAATCGCAAAGTGACCTATAATTCTGTGTGTACCACAATCGACAGTATAATAAAAATACTGTAATTGCACACTAACCAAATAAGCAAACAAAAAATCGGCAATATAGCTAGCGGCAATATAACAATAAGCTACCGTAATTGCAAAGTGATCTATAATTCTGTGTGTACCACAATCGATAGTATAATAAAAATACTGTAATTGCAGACTAACCTAATAAGCAAACAAAAAATCGGCAATATAGCTAGCGGCAATATAACGATAAACTACTGTAACTGCAAAGTGACCCAAATCTATCCACTCTCAGCTGTCATCCCTTAACTTATTGATTCGATTAATTTGGCCCAGTAAATCGAAATGTTCCGTCCAATTAATTTAGCCATTAAATCCGAACATTCGATTCAATCTAAACTCCAGTTTATTTTCTCGATGTTGGACAGGATTCTTCGCAGGCGTCAGGGAGCCGGCAAGTTCTAAGCGATCCCCGGCCAGAATCAAGATCGGAGTCAGGTGAGCCTCACTGTCAATCCGATAATTAGTTTGCATGCCACGTTTTTCGACCGAGCCGATCGAATTCGTACGCGTAAGAGCAACGGCGAGCCACGATCTTGCGAATTCATAATGCCCTCGGTATTCCTGCCACGTACAACGCTCACGTAAGCCATGACAAAATTATGTACTACAACGGGTGCTTTCGCCGGTACGTTTTAAAGCGCACTCGTAGACGGGAAGGAAATTACCTATCGTCGGGATGAAGCCGGTTCCGTGGGGAAATTTTCTTCAATACGAATCGGTATTTGTAAATAACACGACATGATGCTCCCGATGGGCACGACGGACACCCGTTTCTTTTTATCAGCCTTTGGAGATGATTACTTTTGTCTTCGGATCGGGCGGCTCATGGGGCTTTATTATTTTCATGGAGATATTTAATTAAGAATTTTATATTCGGTATCTAGGGAATTGACGAGTATTTGGTAGACTTTAAATTGGAGGCTGATGTGGTGATATAGGAATTACCAGACGTAGGAACTTGGAGGTGTGGGATTACGGGAAGTTTGGTGTTTGGAGGATTTGGAATTTCGGGATTTAAGGATTTGGAGATCTAGGGATTTGGGAATATTAGAATTCGGAATCTAGGGATTTGAGGGCCTAAGAGTTTTGGTAGATAGGAAGTTAGAGACTTAAGGAAGTTAGGGTTTACAAGTATACTAATGTGACGCGCTCATGACGCATTGATGACTCACTCATGACGCACTCACGATGTAATCTTGACGCACTGGTGACGCACTCACGATGTAATCTTGACGCACCCACGATGTAATCTTAACGCACTGGTGACGCACTCACGATGTAATCTTGACGCAATCGTGACGCACCTACGATGTAATGACGCACTCGAGACGCACCCACGATGCAATCGTGACGCATTGGTGACACATTGGTGACACATTGGTGACACATTGATGACTCGCTGGTGACGCATTCGTGATGCACCCACGATGCAATTTTGACGCACTGGTGACTCATTGATGACTCGCTGATGACGCATTCGTGACGCACCCACGATGTAATCTTGACGCACTCATGACGCATCTACGATGTAATCCTGACGCACTCGTGACGCACCCACGATGCAATTTTGACGTACTGGTGACTCATTGATGACGCACTCATGACGCTCTGGAGACGTCGTGACTCAATCATGACGCACTCGTGACGCATTCGTGACGCATTCGTGACGTACTCGTGACGCACTGGAGACGTGGTCGTGACTCAATCGTGACGCATGTCGTGACGCAGTGGAGACGTCGTGACTCATTTATGACGCACTCGTGACGCATTCTTGATGCATTCGTAACTCATTCATGACGCACTCGTGGCGCATTCTTGATGTATTCGTGACGCACTCGTGACGCAATGAAGACGTAGTCGTGACTCATTCGTGACGCACTCGTGACGCATTCTTGATGCATTAGTGACGCTTTCTTGACGCACTGTTGTCGCATTCGGAACGCAATCGTAACGCATTTATGATACACTCCTGACGCACTCGTGACGCACTCTACAGTTCAGAATCCTATTTACACCACTATTTTTCATTCAATTTTGATTATAATTTATAAGTAAGGAAGAATCGCCGCTTACAAAACATGCTTATCTTCTTAGAGTACTAAATTTTAGGAATCATCGCACGTCATCAAAGTATTAAATTTAGCAGGAAACTAAATCGAACCACCTCTTTAATTTCAACGTTCCACGTAATCCCCCTGGCCACCACACGAGACCTGTTATTTCAGCATTGTGTCCCAGCAATTCAAAGTGGACACCTTTGATGTTCCGCCAGATTGAAAGCGGTAAGCCCCTTCAGATGAAGACCCCGTTTCGAAATTGAGATACGTTTAAACGTCGTGTATCTTTCGCAGAAACAACGAAGTTGCGCAACGAGTCGTAAATTAAGATGCGCGTCGTTCGATTTTGCTGTGATAAGTCGTGCGATGGTTCAGCAAGTTTTTACGCCATTTCGGTAAAATCTGATTTGCCGAATTTGTATGCGGTGGATTTGACGGAAAAATTGTCGTGCTACTGCGGAAAATGTGGACGTTCTCGGTGATTAGATTATTAACGTGCATTAATTAGAGGAATTGTAGAGGTGATTCGATTTGGACGGAAAAGTAGGATGAAGGGAAGAATATTTTTTATAGCACAGCTTTAGAATTTAACTCGATATTTACTATTTAATTAGTTTTATATTTTCTGTTGTTCAATTTGAAAATATCAGTTTAACTAGTTTAATAAAAGTAATTATTGCTTGCAAATTTTAAGAGTTAAATTAACAAATTTATTCAGGGAGGTTGTTTTGAGATACAAAGTATGATAGTTGTGTTATAGAGAAAGGTGGTGTAAGAGCAGGAAGCTACATTACTTCCGGTCTGCACTTTAAAGTTAACTCAAGGTTTATAGGCACTCGTGCCCGTTGAAGAGTTCAGGGGCATCGGTATCCAGGTAGCTTACAATATCTTGCTAAACCTCAATTTTCAAATTTTTTAAAAATTTGAAAATGCAGAAATATCAAATTTATTAATCAATTTATTTTCGGTAACTAGGAAGTTAGGGACTTAGGGAAGTTAGGGTTTACAAGTATACTATCGTGACGCGCTTATGATGCATTGATGACGCACTCTTGACGCACTCGAGACGCACCCACGATGCAATCTTGACGCACTGGTGACGCACTCATAACGCATTCACGATGTAATCTTGACGCACTCGTGACGCACTCACGATGTAATCTTAACGCACTCGTGACGCACTCCCGATGTAATCTTAACGCACTCGTGACGCACCACGATGTAGTCTTGACGCACTCTTGAAAAATTTGAAAATGCAGAAATATCAAATTTATTAATCAATTTATTGTTTTCAAAATTTCAGACATTTAATAATTCAGCAATACAGAAATACTGAAAATGCAGAAATTTCATGTCTCAATAATTATCAGATCTTCCAAAATTTTCAACAAACTGTGTACCAAATATTTTTCACTACTCACAAGTACTTTAAGTACAAGTCATCAAATCATGTCGCTTTCTACATTTCGAAACCGCTCGACAACCTAATATTATGCTAATAATAGCAGCATATTGAATACTAAAACTTGAACTTATTATACATGCATTTTCACTATGACAATATTGAATTTAAAAAATTTAAGTAAAGGGTAGAAATTGTATGTGATATATGTATATAGATATGCGAATGCATATGAGTATTATCATAGAATGAATTTGAATGATAAAAAATGACCGTGACAAACATTGAAGCGGCCATCGTGATACTTTTCGGTGGGCGATCATTCGCCTCACGTAATATAGGTTTGCTGTACTTACGAAACGATAAGCAATAACCGCCGAAACGAAATCGTTTCGTATCACTTCGTATTCACGATGTTGGCCGCCATCTCATAAACGTGTGGCTGCATATAAAGACGGATGAAAGACACTGGCAAAAGCCAGTCAAAATTTTCGTTGCGGACCTCACGGTGCTGGCCTGCAAGAATGAGGAACACGGTAACGAGATTTGTTATGCAAAAACATTATTAATCATACATTAAATTAACATTATTATTCATACATTTGTGTGTTCAAACTTTTTTTTAAATGTAACGAAACTATATTTCGTATTTTATATTTTATATTTTATATTTTATATTTTATATTTTATATTTTATATTTTATATTTTACATTTTATATTTTATATTTTATATTTTATATTTCATATTTCATATTTCATATTTTATATTTTATATTTTATATTTTATATTTTATATTTTATATTTTATATTTCATATTTTATATTTTATATTTCATATTTTATTTGCATTACAAGTTTTTTTCAAGTTAAATTCACCCATCAACAAGTTCAGTTCATTCCTTTGCAAATTAAATTGATTCTCTCACAAATTAAATTAATTCTCTTGCAAATATTCTTTTTAACAATTAACTAAAATTAAAGTGCTTAAAATTTCAATAAAACACCACTAAAAATATAGAAATACAGTTTGTAAAAATAGTTAAATATGCAACGAGTGTCTCAGAAGCAAAATATTTATTTCTATTCTTCTATTTAATAATTTAGCTTCCATCGCTTAAAATATTGAAGTGTAACCTTTTGTGATGATAGATCAATGTTTAATGAAGATTTGCAGTACTCTAAAGCGGTCATAGAGTGTCTGTAAACGGTATAATAAATTATTAATCGAAAGCTTTAATATTTCTTCTGAGACCGCCATTTTTCTGCGGCGCGCGAGGTAAAGGCGCGAAATTTGAAATACAAAAAAGCTAATTAGTAAATTACAGCTTCTCTGTTAATTATACTGTAACCAATAAATTGATATTAGTTTATTTATATACCATAAGTGCAATAAATATTATAATATGTATAATTAATATTCTGACATTTTGACTGTCGTTTAACGTTTGATTAATATTCACTCTATTTTATTATTCAGAGTTAGGAATTCAATTTGTGGATTCTGTAATATTCATTATTCCGATTCAGGGATTATATCATTTGATCATATCAGATTATTTTGCAAGGTTTATTATTCATGCTAGGAATATTTATTATTCAGAAATGCAAGGTCAAAATTTGAAAATTCCACAAAATACAGAATACGAATTTATTCCAAATTGACGTTTTGGAAAGCATCGCTGAAACAAAAACCGATAAAAAGATAGAACAAACGTTTCACCCGATGTTAAAATAACGACGTACCGTTTTCTTCGTATTTCCGAAAGCGGCATCGAAAGGACAGCAGGAAAAGCGTACGACAGCTAAGCCATTAATTGCTTTTCCATTTTCCAGCTGACCCTCGTGCTTCTCTGTATCGGACTAGCAACATCAGATTTATCGCCATATAAACCAAGGGGATGGCGTCCTAATGGTCAACGCTTTAATCCCGCCAACAATCGATTGCATGCGTATTACGGGCCCCCTGGATTACCAGCCTATGAACCTCCAAGCTCGACAAGCCACCCCCCAATTTTCACCACTACTCCACCGCCGACAACTACGACGACAACGATGAAAACCACAACGACCCCACGCACCAGGGAGCCCACAACACCCTCGAGCAACCCTGAAGAAGACTTCGACTCCAATCCGGCATTGGCGATCGCCAATTCGTTCGCTTTCAATCGACCGGTTTACATTTACAACGCCTTCCCCTTTCTCCCGGGACAGGTTCTGCTCAAATGATCGCTTAATGGCCGACGTTTACTGTACTCCATTTAACGAATGTCTAATTAAAGGTACCTTTATGGGAATCCGAGTTGACTGATTGTTACTCTCATGATACTTTTTACTATATTTTTTTACTGGATTTTTAATATACTGATTGTTCGCTTCAACTATGTTTTTCGTCTGTTTACCTTTTTATTTGATTTTTAATATTTTTGTGATGGCTGTTTCATTTTGATGATGGCTGTTTTATTTTTCAAATGTTTCATGTATAGCTCTCTTTATAAAATTTTGATGGACTAGTTGGGACCTTTTATGGTGACCCTGAGTGTATGTGAAGGTCAAGGTCATTGAAAGTTATTCACTCATGAAAAATTTGTGAATCCAACAATTTCTTAAAAATTGACAAAAATTAAAAAACTATTTCTATTTACCTTCACTCCACTACAAGTTTTACGTTGGTTCAAATATTTTCGTTCACTATTTTTAATAATTTTTAGTAAGCAAAAAAAATATTGATGAATGGTGACGCACACGTGATGCATTGATAACTCACTGACGACGCACTCGTGACGCACCCACGATGCAATCTTGACGCACTCGTGACGCACTGATGACGCACTGATGACGCACTCGTGACGCACCCACGATGTCATCTTGACGCACTCGTGACGCATTGATGACGCACTGGTGACTCACTGGTGACGCACTCGTGACGCACCCACGATGTCATCTTGACGCACTCGTGACGCATCCACGATGTAATCTTGACGCACTCGTGACGCATTGATGACTGATGACGCACTCGTGACGCACCCACGATGTAATCTTGACGCACTCGTGACGCACCTACGATGTAATCTTGACGCATTCGTGACGCACCACTACAAGTTTTACGTTGGTCCAAATATTTTCGTCCACTATTTTCAGTAATTTTAATAAGTATGTCATCAGTCTGCATTCTGACAAGATCTGCCTCAACCTTCCACTCCCATCATGTTTTCACATCACAATAACCCTGAAACAAAACAGTCCTCTATTTTTAGTCAACAACGATTATATACCGACTCGACGAAGTCGTCCATCTTGTACGCTTTAAAAATGGTTGTCGAACGAGGATTAATTTCCTGCAGAAGCTAAATAATCAGCGCGTCGATAAATGTTGGCTAATTTGCATCTCACGTTACGACGAGCCTCCTGTGATTACATCACAGAATTGCCAGTGGCTGATTAAAGATGCAGCGTAGCGTCAGGTGCGTTCAAAGCCCTTTCAACGCCCGTGAACTTCAACCCTTCTCGAACTGATGGACGTCCATTTCGATAATTGCTTGTCTTACAACGGACAGTTTAGTGTTAACGCTTTCGGTTTGGGTGAAAATTTAATTTTGTACTTTGGGAAATGTAGGGGTTACATTTGGTGGTAGGAGGGAAGGAGGGAAGGAATTTCGTTTTGGGAATTTGAGAAGTGGGGATGGACTGTTTTTGATTTCGAAGATTGGGAATTTGGAGGTTTCAATTTTGCAAATTTTTTAATTTTCAAGTTTTCAAGTTTTCAAATTTTTTAATTTTCAAGTTTTCGAGTTTTCGAGTTTTCAAGTTTTCAAGTTTCCGAGTTTTTAAGTTTTCAAGTTTTCAAATTTTCAAGCTTTCAAGTTTTCAAGTTTTCAAGTTTTCAAGTTTTCTAGTTTTCAAGTTTCTAAAGTTCCAAATTTCCAAATTTCCAAATTTCCAAATTTCCAAATTTCCAAATTTCCAAATTTCCAAATTTCCAAATTTCCAAATTTCTAAATTTCCAAATTCTCAAATTCACAAATTCTCAAATTCTTAAATTCCCAAATTCCCAAATTCCCAAATTCCCAAATCCCCAAATCCCTAAATCCCTAACTCCTTAAATCCCTAAATCCCTAAATCCCTAAATCCCTAAATCCCTAGATCCCCAGATCTCTAAATCCCCAAATCGCCAAATCCCCAAATCCGCAAATCCCCAAATCCCCAAATCTCCAACTCCCCAAATCCTCAAATCCCCAAGTCCCAAATTTATAATTCCCCAAAACCCCAAATCTGCAAACAGCTCCCCAAAAAATCTGCAACTCCCCAAAAAACTGTACTCTAATGCTCCACGTTACAAACGAGTATATTGTGTAAACGTAACAACGTAATACATTTTTCCAGTAGAAAAGAAAGCAGCAGTCATATTTATTCGTAAGTGAAGGAATACAGTGATCTGACAGTTTTGTGAGAAGACTGAAATAACACATCATATTTCTCGCAGAAAGGCGGTGGTAGAATAGACACACTATGTATACTCTTTTCACACCGGCCGCAGTATTTCATTTCTTATCTTTTGGAGGCGCATTTTGCTTAGAAATATGTAACTTACTGATTTCTTGTGGGAAATGACATGTTTATTTTTATTTTGTGTGAAAATTCTGTTGTTTCAATAATTAAGTATCAAGTGGCACTGGGTCAATTATAACCCAGTGTAATAAAATATATACAGTGCTTCACACTAAATTTGTTACAAATTGATATATTCATTATTTTTAATAATAAATATCACAAGAGTAAATTTTCACAACAAATATTTGGATGAAATTTTTCTTAAGGTTCTTTCTCAAAATTTAAAGTTTTAATGTGACTTGAATTGTCATTACATAATTGAGGTTAAGACCCACCTAACCTAACCTGTAACTATAACCTCCACAAGACCTTGAAAACATTCAGAAATGTTCAAATGCAGAAACTTATATATTGCAGGTCTGCTATTAAAATACACAATCAAATTTTTTAACAAAAACTCTCATATAACAAAAAATTAACTACAGGAATAATAGGAATAATTATAAAGTGAAAATAAATGAACCAAATAAAAGTGATTGCATACAGTAATTCACCATACAAGAATTAACAACATAACAAAAGTATAATTGTTCGATAATGGATTCGTTAACACAAGTGTTTGTAACATTCGTATTTCTTTATTGTTTCCATTTACTTCTGCATAACTTGACAAATATATCATCTATTTTATGTACAATATTACGAGAAAAATAACGATTTTGCTCTTTTAAGGCTATTAAAATAGAGTACTTTTTTATCTTTAATTGTTATGATCGACATACATCTAGGTACAAAAAGAAATCCTACAACTTAGATAAACTCTTACTAATTAATTGATTTATTGTAATTAGAGAGAACGATCAAATCGAATATAAATCAAAGTAAAATATAATAAAATTTGCTAATATTTATCTACCAATTAATTCACTAATTTGAGTGAATGAGATTAATCGAACGCATAATTTGTCTACATTTTCTTAATCGAGAAAAACATACATTTTATACCAATTCATCTAAAACAGTGAACATTGTACTGGCTAACACATTTCCGTTTAAACATTTCTAAAATTCCTACTTCAATAGCGGTCAAAATTCGTTTAAATATTTTTACTAAAAAATTGTAAACAAAATGATAAAAAACTTTATTTGTGCAGCAGAACTATATCGTAAAAAAGATATTGTATTGTCAGTTTCTTCGTCATTGATGACATTCAATTTGAATTCATAACCTAATTACATAATTATCCCAAAGTAAACTGACACAATATTTAACTTGAAATGCCATCGTTTCGTTAATTAACGTAAAAATAAATGTTGGTAAAATTATAATCAATATTTAACAACACCTCCATCGATACTTTAGTCTTGTTTTAACATGTTTGTACTATTTGCACAAGCTGTATCCTAAATCGCATAAAATATATAAAGGATTCAACGCACAGCATAAATGTGGTTTCAAACGCGTACAGTACATCAACCTTCTAAAAATAGATTATTGTTCCGATGAACTAGTATTTCCATTCAATTGACGTGACATTTGATCGATTAATTCTTTAGGAATTTTTCAAAAATATTGACATGTACGAGGGTCAATCAGTAAATTAGTCATTGTTTTAAAAGAGATATGTGATTGTTTCTATATGAATAAAATGTAAGTCAAAGTTATTTCAAAATCTAGAACCCATCTCACTAACAGTGATTAGATTTTAAAATAACCTTGACTATATTAAAACATGTGAACATTCAAGTTTTAGAAAACACCCAAAGTAACTTATTTCACAATTCACATTTTAGAATTTATAGACACCTTATATATAAATATACAGTGTGTCAAATTAGATATGTGCAATAGAATTTTGATGTTTGATCATATTTAAAATAATAACTTATTAACTGACCCTCGTATATCGCAGAACATACAAGATCCACTAAGAACATTTTTCTACAATAATTCTCATTAATATTCAGACACTAGTATTCTCTCACTATTCAGTATATTTGCACATAAACATATTTTTTTATCATAAAACATTCTTCTTAGCGTAACACAAATTTTAACTGTTTAAGCTAATTGCAACAAATAATTATATGTTATATTGATATAAGTGTCTAAATATTAATAAGAGTCACTGTGTATTTTTAGCAAGAAGAGTATACTTTGCATCACCAATTTAAAAGAAATTTTGAGTGCTCATAGAATTCATCTTGCTGTTTATGAATATATTTATCCTAATACTTTACCCTCTTGGAGATATTAATCACTGAAGTTTCAGTTACCTTAAATATAAATAAATTAAAAATATTTCAGTAATATTGTGGCATAGAAACATAACTGAATTATGAACATAAGTGAATAATGCTGCAGGTCCAAAATGTCTTTGCTTACAAATATATGTTTTTAGACAGACATAACCTATACAAATGTACATAATGTACATAGCACATGGTAGCTATACTTTTATTGTACACAATATTAGAATGTAATGAACAATATTATGTCATTTATAATGAACCTGGATCAACTCCATCCTTTAAGAGAATTTGATTTATTACATTTTTTAAGTACATGCAGCTCATACAATTAAAAGGTATAGTAACTCAAATTCCCTTAACAGAGTTGCTTCATTTTCACCACAAACATCTCAAATAACACTGTACATTACTTTTGTTATGTAATACACATTATGTACACCTGCATATTCAAAGTAAAAATTTGCAAGTGAAAATGCTTTGTAACTTGTAAAAACCTGACATTCAAAACATGTTTCTTGACGTTTGAATATGAAGCTAATTTAAAAAAATGTGCTGGCAAGACCCTGCACTCCAGTGTAAAATTCTTTTGTATATCCACTTCGTTAAATTCAATTTAGCTACATCTAAGGTAACTCATATCTCGAAAAATACTACATATCGAACAGTACATAAACGGGACAAATTCTATGAGTACAGCCTCACATAAAATGTATACTCTTCTTATAAACAATCTAATTCGGATAAAATTGATCGAACACGAAGCTCGTTTCGTGGCTTTCAAGCCATGTCGCTGGCATTAGCTTCGATGTCCGATTAAAACTACTGATCGTGTTCCTAACGTTTCTTAGCGAGCTAAAAGGTGAGGAACATCGACGACTGCGGCGTCCTTTGACAAAATCTGACAGGTGACTGGTTCTCGTTGTGAAGCAGCGGCACGCTCTCCGAATGTTTATAATAATCAGAACACTTGATCTCTCGATGATGATGGCACACCATGTCCTGATGAGATTCACGGCATCGGGATTGATGGCTGTGCACGTCTCGATGCGTCATCTTCCAGCTGGATTGCTCGTGCGAGTGGCACGAGTGTTTGAGAGTCGTCACCAAGCGCGGGGACAGAAAGTCGATGCTCGAGTACCCTGCGAAGCGCAGTCGAAACGATATTATAATCTTCTAACATGATGGAAGAAGTCGCTATTAACGCGAGTTATCAAATGTTTGCTAAGTATAGTGCTCATTACAGAAGATGTGAGGGTGAGATGTACATGTATTGCTTATAAGTCCTAGGACATGAGCTGACTTTTCTAGTTTTGGAGTAGTATGTGTTTAGAATGTCAGAAGTATTAAAACACTTTCAACTTTGACAATATCCTAATTACATGCTTCTGCTTTTACATCAACTATCAAATTTTGTATCATTCAGCTGTATAATTTTTCTGAACTTTGTATGATTCTAATAAATGTCCTAAGACCTAGTAGTGTGCGTGAAGTATTAGTAGAAGATATACCTTTACCTTGTCATTAAAAAAGACAATAGAAAGTTAATATTTCTACTGAAAATGTTAAAAGTCAAGAAATTTCCACATAAAAAAATTAATTTGTTGTACACATTAAATGATACAGTTACACAAAATAGATGTACAAACTTCACTGAGTATACAATTATTTATCATACATATTTTTATAGAAACAAGAAACAACTTCATAGAATCTAATTTTAGCAAGAGACCTTAATAGTAATTGATCTCAAATTAAAAATTGGTTTAAAGATGACCTTATAGCCTAAGTTCGCAATGAGAATACATAACTGTAATTTTCAATGTACACATGATACTCCAATTACAATTTAAAGACGTATAATGACAAATTAGCTGCAGTGGAAAGTAAACACTGACTATGAATTCATATGAACAATGAAGGACAATTTACTTTAGAGTCAAGCAATGATTGAAGTATTAACTCTGGACTCAATAAGTAATTAATTACAAGGCTGAAGATTATTCGAAAAGCAAAGAAGTGCATTGTTCAAATTGCACTGGTTTATTAGTGTTAGAGAACAGAAACATTCCATCGACAATCACAAGACATCACAAAGACAAAAAATAGAAAACAAGTTAATGAAGTTAAATTTAATTTACTTTTATGTGTAAAGTCATTTATAAATATTAAAAATTAATATCTTCTCTGTGAATAAAACAATGATAATTATATGCAATTACTAGTTACAATATTTCAAGTTCAACATTAATTTTCTCAATTTTGTTGAGAATTGATGTGACATAATACTTTTGTACAAAGAATATGAAGTTGATCTTGTATAAAAAATATCAAGTTGATGAAACATAACCTTCATATCTCTTCTACAAGTCTACATAGAAGAAATCTTCCTTCAACTTTTTCCACAAAATCAGATAACTTTTGTGTAAAATTTTATGTTAAATATTTAAATGAATGTAAACTAGACACCCTATACATTACATCTTGAGCATAAATTTTCGTATAAATAGTTCTAAAAGCACTTTTAGCACATGGTAATATGAAGGTAAACCTTGAACGTACATAAAAAAACCTAATAATGTGTTGAATTTATGTAACACTCGTGTTACGCCATGATATCAAGGGTTAATATCGGTAAAAGCATGCGTATCCCAGCAAGCAAAGCAGTGCTAAAAAAAAGAAGAGAAATGAAAAATACAGGCAATAAAAAGGTGTTGAGTATGCAGATATAATTTCTCGAAATATTGAATTTATTTTACCAAGGTGCTCTGTCACTCCCTTCGACAGCGGACGGATTCGTGTTTATATTTTATGTGTACAACTTTCCGTGGAAAGTTTCATTCCGCCTTCGTGAATAGAGTTTACAAACCGACACGCACGTGTTTTCGATACCACATGGAGAAACAAACTCTGTTAGTTAGATGTGAATGATGCACAAATACCTGTTTACCGACCATTCTGACAGGCAGCTTTATCCTCCGAGATCCCTCGAACGGAGCTTTGGTCGTCTTCCTTGACGAACTTTATTAGGAACATCGTTAGGGCGCCTACTATTGGCGGGATGCCGGCCAAAAAGAAGGGCAGGTCGTAGGTTCCTGTAAACATAGAAGAAAAACTGTTAAGAGCTTACAGTTTTTGTTTGGAAAATTTTTGGAGGGTTGGACATTTTAGAGATTTTGAATTTTGGGGATTTTGGAATTTTTTGGAAATTTGGAATTTTAGGGATTTGAAAATTTGGGGAATTAAAGTTAGTAAGATTTGGACTTTGAGAGGTTATGGAATTTTGGTGATTTGAAATTTTAGAAATTTGGAATTGTGTAAATTTGGAATTTTAGGGATTTTGAATTACTAGTAATTGGATAAGTAAAACTTAATTTTGAGATGAAATTACCTGTGTGATCATACAGAAGACCAGCAATCGGTGGGCCCACGGTTAGAGGTACAGAACACATTCCCAACAGAAATCCGATAGCTTGGGTTGCGCCTTCCCGACCGCAAATATCAAATGCAATGGGTCCCAAAAGAGAAATGAAACAACCATCGAATAGTCCCATAGCCAAGGAAATTAGTAATAACACAAGGAACGAGGGTGTAACGGGAAGAAGCATCGTAAGGACACCGATACTAAGAAAAGATATCTAAAAAGACAAAAATTAAAACGTTGTTAAAAAACAATATACAAATCTGAGTATTCATTAAATAAATAATAATAATATTGTTTGATTTGTATTTTAGAACAAAATAATAAGACTGTGGTAAACATATGCTGAATGCACACATGTTTTCATATTATACATTTTTAGTTCTGATAAAGTTTTAAGAGTTAAAATGTAAAATTAAAATTTGTGCCAACTTGTATAATTACATGAAGCATATTTTGAAAACAGAAAGCATGAGAAAATATTATTTTTCTATTTTAAAGTCTTGAAGTGGCAGAAGTTATGATGGTATACCAATATGGCCGCCATTGGGCTACCAATATGGCGGCCATTAGGCAACCAAAATGGCCGCCATCTTACTAACTTCTTAACATTCTCTAACTTTTACTTCACAATACAATAATAAAAATGATATAAATATGAATTTAAATTACTGCAACTAACATTATTTCTTGTTAAAAATATTTGTTGAATACTTTACTGAACAGAAAGTCCAAAAATTTGATATTATTGAAATAATATAAGATTATGGTCTATTGAAGCTTGAATTTGATCAAAGTTATTCAAATATTTTAATAACGTTCTTAATAGAAATTGATATTTAACAGTAATAACCAATTAATTTATAGAGTAAGTGGTCTAAATAAGGATTACTTTTAATTCCATTGAACTATTAACTAAATTTGAACACCAAATCTAGCAATGTAGTGACACAATTCATTACATAACTTCTGATAAAACAATCTTGAGATAGTTCTCAAATTACTGACCCAAGAAATCATTACTAAAAAAGTAAAATAAACACGTCTCTGCAAAATCTCTGAAGATGTAAACTTGCATGTTCAAGATAACGTTAACGACAACAAACATAAGCATCTTCATTTCATAAATAATAGTTTCACTAGTGTGTCTCTAGCACGTTATACTTCAATCCATATTTAGACCGCTCCTCTAACAAAACATACGAAAATAAAATCTTGCCTGTTGCAACAATATTCTGTTCACTCTCGGTAAATCGGCGATATATCCAAAGACCAATCGACCGATACCGGAAGTGATACCGATGCACATGATTGGTAGTTTCCCATCGGCGTCTTTGAACACCGTCTCAACGAATTTTCCTATGTGAACGTACGGCACGAAATACCTGAAAGGAACATTCACATTGACACGAGAAGCCATGTTACTTTATACCGCGCTCGCTTTAGACGCTTTCGCCGCGGTTGTTTCTTTCACGACGGCTTGAATTACACGGCTTGTAACTTGACTGTTGTCGAGAAACAAGTTCACTTTCGCAACAGTGCTTACTGAGACTTGTTGTCACCTATTGTGGCGGATGAAATCGCTTTAGGTGACGAGGTGGTTTCCACGATAATGAGTGGTTGCTTATTAGAGCAGATGATTGAATGCCATATAAAATACCAACCCAAACAATGCTAGGGGAATGGAACTAGCCCACACCACGTATCGCTTCTTCCTCCAAATGGAGACGTTAATCACTTGCTTGAGGCAGCTCTGGAAACTCGTTTTGGACTTTAGTTCATCTCGGGACACAGAGTTGACTGAAAACATAGTTATAGCAAAATATTCAAATGATGGTAGTTATAAATATTTGTTAAAACAAAATAGTGACGTTGATTATAATTATTAAAATAAAACCTTATAAACTTTCTTATAAAACCTTCTACCAAAACTTAATTACTAACTTAAAGAACTGTAAAGAAGTAATAAGAGAAGCGATGGCAGACTTACGAGGGATGGGTTTGAACAGTATAGCGCAGGCCATAACGATGGTGGTAAGCATGGCCAAAAATCTGAGTGTTCCTTCGAGACCAAAGCGACGAAGTATGATTTCCATGAGGTATGGCATAAGGGTGGTGAATATGGAGCTCCCGGCAGTAACGATTCCGTTCACCAAGCCCAGATATCTTTTAAAATAATGGCCCAAGATGGCTAGACTCGGTGTGTAGGCGAGACTCGCACCAAGCCCGTACATAACTCCGTAGGTCAAATAGAGCAATGACACCTGAAGCACAGCGATTCTAAAAATAACTCGAGTCGGTTACAATAACGCGATTAACCACAAAATATGAAGAACAACCACAAAATGTCACTAACGATATTTCTCAAGATTACCATTTCTTATATTAAGATTTAGAATACAAGTAGCAAGACGATTGGATCTAGATCCAAATTCCTATCAACACAGTAATACATCGTTTATAGTTCCTGTCGTTGAATCGTCCAATATAACTTACTTTTAAATGTTTCACTTCTTCAAGCTTACAACTTTCGAGTATAGTCACGTTATTGTAGTATAATTATTACGAACGAGTATAACCGTCAGACTGTAGATTAGTAGATTACTGACCCTCCTCGAGTCCCAGTTTCATACGCTTTGACTGTAAAAATGGGAGTAGTTCCAACGGAATTTTAGGTTCAGATTAGTAAGTGCATCAGATGCATAAGTGTCTGGAAAATAGGTTCAGAGCCGCACATGGGCCTGACCCAGATTGCCCAAAAACGGGGTCCGGATACAGAAATATTGGAATATTTGCGTTCGGGAATTTGGACGCAAAGGGAAGTGATCTGGTCTATAAGTGGCCGAGGGTTGATAAGGATAAGTGCAAGCAGTCGGTGAAGGAACGGTCGACACTCCGAACACTTTGTATACGTTCGAATCAATAGGTTCTTTACCCGCATCAGCAACAACACCCAACGAGTCGTTAAATTCTATCGAGTAGTTTTAGTTTATTATTCGCATCTGGTTGCCGGGACCCTTGATCTTAGTAGAGTCCTTCATTCGCAGTTTCCTATTCATGTTGCTTGGTTTATTACTTGACGGTCACTTTTTGATGTACTCGAATTTCCATTCGAACACGATGTTCACTTCGGATATAATCGTTTGGAACCACGTTAAAAATAAGTGGAAAGCACATATCGGTTGCGCAATTATTCAATCTATAGTCCACTTATAAATGTTAGGACTTCGAACGATATGAAGTTCAGTCGAAGTTTAATCGTCGCTAATGTTGCTGCGACGCACATATATGTGATTTTGTGACTTTTGTTTGATGGATTTTATTCCGAAGGACGTACAGGATAAGTGTATCTAATGTGAAAGTCTCAAGTATTTTCTACCATTTTTCTATGTTTTCAAATTGTTACATTTTGAATTTTTCCCCTTAGAAATTTGAGTTGAGGACAATTTAGTATTTCTGGATCTTAAAATTTTCAAGTTATCAAATTTCAATATTTATAATTTTAATCTACAAATTTTTAGATCTTTGTGTTTATGGATTATGAAGTATAAATCCCTACGTTTGAAAATTTGATAATAATATAAATACCATAAACCTTGTATTATCAATATAAAAATAAAAATAATAATAGAAATAAAAATTATTATATGCACCTCTTCTGATGACACACCTGGTGCGTCATAACCATCACCTATCAAATTTAATTTTTGTCAACCTCCATTATTTTTCAATTACAATACAAGATATATTTCAGAATAATATCTGTCAAAAGTAATTCTCAACTTCGCTTAAATCGATCATTAATATAATATTTAATATTCAAGATTTAATGGAAATTCGTAAATTTGCATTTAATTACAATTCGATTGTTCTTCTCGATGATTCCTATTAAAATTATTTAACATAAGCTGTATAAATATTACAAATGCACTTAATTAATTCTGTAATAAGTTTTAATTAAACTTCGTTTGTAGAATTTATTACAATATCAAATGTGTAACTTCGAATTTCGCGTTTGAAAATTTACACAGCATGTTAACATACATCAGATGTGACCAAATACAGAAATAAAATCTATTAAGAAGGAAATATACTTCATTGTTTTTTACTAACGATAACAATTTTAATAACAGTGCGTTAAAAATGTATTCGCGTTCAATTATTAAAAAGGAAAAATGTTGATTCAAGAAATAAATTACAGTTATTGAAAAAATAATATTAATTAAGAATATATGAAAAAGTTAACATTAGTCAAGAAGAATAAAAAGTAATTTTCAAAGCATTGATAAAAAATTAAATTACCTCGCTAGAAAATATTGATGAGAGGAGCATTCCACTAGACGCGAGAGCACCGCCCAAGAATGTGGTCATCTGAATACCAATTTTATCAGTGAGGATACCAGAAATTGGCGATAAAAAGAACGTTGTACCGATCGTTAGGGATCCCACCAAAGCTGAAACAAAAATACATGCAATTCACTTAAATAAATTATAATTATTCTTAGCTTAAATTAACTTTCAAGTTAATCTCCAAATTTCCAAATTCTGCAATTTACAAGTCCCTAAATTTCCCAAATCTCTAAATTTCATAATTTTTTTATAATTAATCAGTAGAAATATACCACTTTGCAAATTAGTGAAATAAAAAAATTAACAATAGTCAAGAAACTAAATTTCGCGAAAGACAAAAATTCATATAACAGAAAAAAATGTGGTGAAATGCGCGAAAGAATCGAAGATGAATATTTTCATTTCCAGCGATGTACAGAATACAGTTTGAGTAATGGAACGTTCGCATATGAGAAGATATTCTGATATTGAAATATCCGACAAAAAATTCGGATACTGATAGAAATTCTACTGTATCATGTGCTCCCAACGCAGAGTTTTCTTTGATCTTGATATTACTTATCAACTTCTACATAAATAAAATAATACGACTTTCGATGAAAAAAATGTATAGATATATTCCTATTTATAGTACTTATTTAATAAAAAAAAATTATTATCTTTTATGGTACCTATTTGGTAATTGTTTATATTCTTTTATATGCAATAAAAAAAAATAATTATTTATAACCAAGTACATCACTACAAACTTATGTTTTGTATAATAAGTACAATAATTTTAATATGTACTTTCATATGTGCAATATAAGTACTGTACACATACTGTATACAGTATATGTTAGGTTGGGTTATAAATACAATAAATCTTACTGAACTAGATTAGGTCAGGTTAGATGAATTCAATAAATTATTTTGTATTAAATTAATTAATTTCAATAAACCTTGTAAGAATTTAAATTAAACACAAGTCTTACTAGATCAGATTAAACCAAGTAAATTTAATAAATCATACTAAATTAGGTTAAGCTAGGTAAATTCCCTAAATCTTACTAAATCAGTGAGGTTAGGTTAAGTAAATCCTACAAATATTTGACTTTACAAGCTCCTGTTCCTCACAGTAAAGCAGCTAACATATCCACAAATAACAGAAAGCAACGTACTCAGAGATAAATAATTATTTCTAACGACCGTCCAATTAAGTCAAAACGAAAGTTAAACGATATCAAGTAAGAGAACTCGTAGAAACATCATATTGAGTACAACAACGCAGAATCATCTTAGAACGTCGTTCAGAGTTCGTTTATTGTTTAGCAAAGACCTAGTTCTACTTTGAAGAGTAACTACCCCTAGATTAATATTATTTGACCCTCGTTACTATTAATACCCATGTAATTGTCTATTAATTTAGATCCAGGTTGTGCAGGGCATTGACTCCACGGATGATTAGGCTGATCGATCGATTTAATTGATACGCCACCCGACTAATTATTCCACGGTACATTTAACAATCATTATGTCTTAAGAAACATCAATGCGCAAAATTCATCTTTGTAACGTAAGAGAATTTAGGTCACCTGCAAATTAATGACAGAAATTGTGTTACATTGGAGAAGCTTGTTTAAATATTAGAAGATATTGTGTATTAAATGATATACTCCAGTAGGGTTAGCTGACTCAGGTCACAAATATGTTTGAATTTCCCGCCAACTCCGCGCTTCAAATTACGAAATCTCTGTATTCATAAATTCTACTATATCCGAAGTTTCAAATTGTCAAATCTTCAAATTTTAAGTTAGTAAAATCTTAAATTAAACTTGCTTACAATATTATTGACATTTCGAATATTATACAATATTCGCATTTATTTTATAACAGCAAAATGAACTGCAAACTAGTTTCCTTTAAATTTTTAATGCAATAAATTATTTTATTAAATTCAAGTTCACCATAAATTTGGTTTTATATTGGTTAAAATAAAAATGAGAAAACTTGCGAGACGATCTGAGTGAATGAAATCGCACAAATAGCAGTTTGATTTGCAGAGAACATATATGATAATTCATTATCGAAAAAAGAACTAATAGATATTAAAAATTGTCAGATAAGGCGGTTCACTGACTGCATTACGAATACGTAAAATAATCGTTTGCTTATTTACTCTTGTGAACCTGAAAAAGATGAAAGATTTACTGAAATGTCACTCTCGAATTTTTGCGTTCCTTTCGCTACAGGATATCGGTAAAAATATCTAACCTAACTTACTAAGTTAATATAAATTGTTTTATATCATTTAAGTTCTTAAACGCAATCAATCGTTCGTCCTTAGCTTCCATGATGCCTTTTATACATACATTCAAACTATTACAGCTTCACACACGCTCACAATCAGACATTCATATAAAAATATTTGAAATAGTCCGTCCGCCATTTTATACTCCTCCTGAAACAGCCTATACACTGTAAAACATAAGAACGCGTGTTTATCATTTTCGGTCTAGCATAAGAAAAACATTTAAATACGCTGTCTAGTATATACAAATGATTAATAGTATAAAAAACATTAGACAATGATAATTCTGTCTCCGACGACCTCGAGAGAAAGATTCTCGTATCGTGACTTATCTTCTTCTAGTACACTTATGATGAACTGTAGTACAAGCAAGAAGGATAAGATAGTAAGGAAAAACAAAATTAAAATAAAGAGAATTTCAGAATTTAGAGATTCAGAACTTCCAGTTTTTGAAAATTTGTAGGTTAACTTAGAGATACAGTAATTATAAAATTTTTCAATTTAAAAAGATTTAAAAATGTAGGAAGATTAGGTTTAAAAAAAATTCATGATATTTCTACAAATACATTTTTACAAATAATGATGCACATTCCAGAAAAGGATGCGTAGTACCTGAGGGATCCTGTTCAAGATTAAAGAATAACGAATAAAGAATAACTACTCTTGAGTCTCTTGAAAATAATATTCTTAATATTTTGTCATGCATTTGTAGTTAACTCTGTAACTATCATTCGTACAGAAAAACTCCTCCTGTATAAATAAATACCTGCACACATTTAAAAAACAATTGATACGTCGATATAATGCTACATATGAAGTATTGGAATGTACTGAAACCGGTAACAATGGTATCAACATAACAGTAACAATTCATATTAAAAGAAAACTTGTACCAACCTCCTAACAAAAAAACAAAAATATTCCCGTGCAAAAGGTTAGAAAGCAAAGGAACTTGAACTTACCCGCTTTAGAGGACGCCGCAGTTTCCCCAGACTCTAGTAATCTTTTCTGCAGCTCCAGATAAATCAACGAGTAGGTGTTGATGACGCTGAAAAGTACCCCATTAATCACGAAACTGCCAATCATAATCATCCACGCTCTGAGTCCGCCATCTGGCGGGACGATCACGTTGCGATCGTCAGCTTCCGGGTCCTTCCTGGACGTTCGATCCTCGTCCTCCCTCTTCGATTTTACGATCGATACATCGACTTTAACCGACGAGTTCTTTCGATCGGATTCCAGCAAAGGATTGTCCTCAGTGCCCGAACTCGAATTCTCCTCCACCCGTCGAACATCCTGCGTGTCCTCGTTCAAAGGACGCTGATCAGTAATCTCGTTCGATGCATTAGACACGCCATCTGGATTTCTTTTCGATTCTGCATTCTCTGCGTTCGTCATCCTTCTGGATCGGACCGAATGCAACTAACGGATGTTCGTGATCTGCAAACGAAACGGAAAAATAGGAAAGAGGTTTAGTTAAAGCTTCTTTACTGACAGTTTTTTGGGTAAACGGATCGACGTTAATCCCTCGATTTGTTTGCCTCTCGAAATGCAAACGCTGGGCGAACTGGAAGGATAATTGTGAAGTAATTGGATTATGGGGGAGGTTAATCTGCGAAGGATGACACTTAATTAAATATTTGTAATAGTAACTTTACAAATGTTTGTAATAGAAACTTCTCGAAGTATAAATAAATTATAATGTATTATACAAATAATGCAACTGTACGTATTCGATATTCGATAATATTTCGATATATATTTCGAACACGATAATCGAAGTAATTCGATCGTTCATGTACATTCTAATCATGTGCAAAATGATTAGATTCAATATAAACAATTATTAGTACAACAATTATTAATTTAGAGGGAGTATGTAACAGTAATTAATTTAATAAACATTTTTTATTTTCGTTGCATTAGTGAACTATTCGAACATGTTTTGAATAAATGTAAATATTTTACAGGAAGTAAACGGTGCACCTTCTGACAATTGTACCATTAGAAAGGTATATACATAGTTAAACAATTCGCACGCCTTATCACGTGCTGATAAATGTGCATGTAGTGTGCACGTATGCATATGCACATGTGTGTGTACATGCTATGAACACGACGACAAGAGCCACTATATCAAAAGCAGTGGCGTAGCTAACGACATATTAGGTTGCTGCATAAATTCTGCCTGTTAGAGTATGCCAATTTACAAATTTGATATTCGAAAATAACTTGTATGCTACATATGATATATTACTATTTCAAAGCTTCTTTCTTTTTAAATTTTCAAACTTATCATTGCAATAAAATTTTATTATTTTTTTGGACATGTTTTACTTTACAAATTTTCAAAGTTATTAATTTTGAAATTAAACAATTTTTAGGATCACAAATTTTTAAATTTAGAAATTTACAAAGTTTCAAATCAAATCAAATTTTATATAAATTTTTCAAATTTTTAAATTTAGGAATACAGATAGTTTTAATCACGGATATTGATTTTTTTAGGTTCACTTGAGGCATAATCAATTTTATATGTGATATGGCCGTGAATTGTCAATAAAATAAGTGTAAAAGATTGATGTATGTGCATGGATACAAGAATAAGATGAAGTCATTCTTTCCTTAAGTAGTATAGAACTTGATATCGAGAGATGTAAGGAACCTGATAAATGTAAGAATAATATGAAATTTCATCCACTGATGGCGTTTAAATATCACTGGTACCGTTATCAATACCGTTTGATTTTGATCGTATCATTAACCGTGAACATATCAACTACATATGTCTCTTAAAAATTAATATATACAATTAATGTGATACTAAACAATTATGATACTAATTTGATAATATAATACTTTTAGAAAAGAGATTTAATATTGTGAATATTGTTGAGGAAGAATTTGATCTCTGAAAAATATTCTAATTAAAATTTCAAGAATTCCTAATTTAAAAACTGACTAATTAATTAATTAGAAAAATTACTAATTAAAATTTCAAGTTATTTCTGATTATTATTTTTCGAACATTGTTCGTAAAAGAGTTTTAAAAATTAATAATTCATGAGATATTTTACATTTTTTCTTATGATACATAAAATTTAAATATTTGAAAAATGACAGTGTCAAATACGTTATTAACAATATATCATTGCAACCATGACCAATCTTAAATTGAGATATTATAAATACTTCCGAGATTCTGTGTACGTAATTAAAGGAATATTTGTACTTATCGAGTTCAATTTTTTCCGTACCGATGACGTATACGACGACCTTAAAATTTCTTTCTATGCAATAATTATTTTGCATATTTTACCCTTACTCTTTCGACAATTCATTAATTACGTTTATCAAAAATGCCGAAATGCATTTTATGCGATTTTATAAACCTGACCGCAGGAGTTTCGCATTTTTAAATTGCTATATTTGGTAATTTGAAAAATTTAAAATTTAAAATTGGAAACTTGAAACTTGAAAGTTGAAAAATCTGAAAATTGAATATTGAAATTTTGAGAGTTGCAAATTTCGGGAATTGATAATTTGGAGAATTGAAAGTTCGAAAATGGTAAATCTTAGAATTGAAATTTGGGGAATTGAAAATATCGTAAACTGAAAATTTGAGAATTGAAAATTTGGGAACTGAAATTTTGAGAATTGAAAGAGGGTGGAATTGAAATTTGGAGAATTGAAAGAGGAAAGAATTAAAATTTGGAAAACTAAAATTAGGAGAATTGAAAGAGGGAGGAATTGAAATTAGAAGAATTGAAAATTAGAGAATTGAAATTCCAAGAATTGGAAATTTGGGAATTGAAATTTGGAGAATTGAAATTAGTACAATTGAAAATTTCTAGAATTGAAAATTTGAGACTTGAAAATTTCGAGAATTGAATTTTGGAAAATTGAAACTTTCGAGAATTGAATTTGTGAGACCTGAAATTTCAAGAATTGAAAATTTGGAAAATTGAAAATTTGAGAATTGAATTTTCTAGAACTAAAAATTCCGAAAATTGAAATTTCAATTCTTGAACACCTTATAATTAATAAAGTATGACCTAATTTCTCTCCACATAATTAATTTAGATTACCCGAAACTTAATTTCTCCGAAATGTAACCAATAAAACCGCAATATCATATTACAAACCTCTGCATATTACAAATTAAAAACCTGCAAACGTAACATTTTTACGCATCAACGTTGAAAACGTTGCAAATTTTGAACGCAACACCGGCGAGTAGACGCATCGTGGTAACGAAGTGTCAAAGCAACTTCTAACTAGTAAGAAGAACATTAAACGGTCGAGACTTGCTTGTATTTGTATTCTAATTTGTAATGATTAAAAGTGATGTACGTACGTCTGTTTAATTCTAAACGTAGGGGACGAACACCTTTATGTTTGCATTCAAGCGGAAAGGTTCATTGACTTCGCCTTTTTGTCAATTTATATTATATTTTAAACGAACAGTTTCACTATTGTGATTGTTCCCGAGTATCTTCCTCGAACCGCCAAATTGAAAATAAAAAAGTTTATTATAACCGTATTTTGTTAAAAAAATAAAATTTATTTATTTAATAATTTTGCAAATTCATATTTTGATATAATCAAAATTGTAAGATAAATATTTTTAATAATTTTCATAACTATAAAAATTGTTTAATAAACAATTTAATGTAATTAAAGAATTTTATAAAAATAGTAAAATTATTTAAAAGTCGTTGAAGTAAATTTAATGAGAAATGTTAAATAAATATTTTATGGACAAAGAATATGATTCTGCCATTATTGTGAAGTCGTAATTGATTAATGAGTTTAAATTAATAAGGCGCAGCATTGCTATTGGTTTGAATGAAAAGGAGGAAAATGAATCGATTAAAGTTGAACGAATCGTTCTAATTAAAGGGAATCACTGTCCAAAAGAAACAATTAGTGGCAACTGTTGTTCAGAAATGAAATAATGATTGCATGTAAAGAAACGGCTGATATTCTCCGAAGTTGTTTCAAGATTGCAGCAATTTCAGCTTCCCTAAATTCTGTACTAAATTGCAATTCTTGACTTCCGATGCCATTTTGTGTATTAAATAATTAAGGGATGAATTTCAGGCAATTAATTCAATATCCAATGTGTGTTATTTTTGGATGAATGTAAACTTCTTTGTTTTCTTTTTATCTTAATTTTAAATTTTATTGTTAAGAATTTTTGAAATTTGAAAATTTTCAGATTTGAAAATTTTGAGGTTATGAGATTTGAAGATTTTTTAATTTTTAAATTTAAAAATATAAATATTTGAAAACTAAAAATTAATATTTGTTAATATTAAAAAAATTCTGAATCAGTATAAATGTCTGAAATAAAACTTCAAATAAAAAAACTTGAAAATTTGCAAGCTGAAAAAAAATTAAAAACTTGAAAATAAATTTTTACACTGCTCCCATATTCTAACAAAGTCACAATGATGTCAATTGCATAAAATGGCATGCTGAATGTTATAAAAATATAAATTTGTTTTATCAACAATTTACGTATGTTCTTTACTGAAAATCATCGAATCGGTTTCCTTTAACCTTGACACTAATCTGCATTCAAATTGAATGGCTCAAGCTCACAAAGTACCTATATATATTAATCTTGACTCTTGTGTCGATTAACCACCGATTAACCTTTTCACACGTTGCGCATAGAGTATCATTGATAACAAATTCTATCTCTACGGAAGAGGAAGCCTTTTGATGGTTTCCAGAACAATAAAGTTATTCTTATTTTCTTCAAACTTGAATTTTTATAATAGACTATTGTTAATTAAAAATTCAAGTCTTTCAATTTTACCTTAATTTCATTTTTTGTCTTTAAATAATAAATTTAAAAAAAAATAGTTTGTACTGAAAATAAAATTTGAGAACTATGTCATTTTTTTAATTAAACATTTGATAGTGATATTAAATTTAATAGCTTGGATTTTTCTTTTCTTTTTTAATACAAAAATGTAGGAATTTGAAAAGTTAAAAATTTATAAATAGAAAAAATTGTCTACCTTATCTAGTGCCTTCAAAATTAAAAATTTTCATTAATTAAATAATTTATGTCATTTAAATAATTTTCCCTTAAACAAACATCTATGAACTGAGTAATAATTGGACTAATTTACAGTATTTTTAACAATTTACTATTTAATATCCAAATGTTATTGCTTATTAAATAATAAATGAACAATAATTCATTTAGTTCTAAAGAGATTCACTTTGGGACACGTGTGTAGTAACTTTCATCCAATAATTAGCACCACTTTAAAGGAGTTATTACTCTCTGCCACATCATCGCACACCTAAATTGCTCGTAACTTGATATTATTAAATTTATACAAAAGTTTGATCTCATCTATCCAACGCCCTGATATAAATATCTCCACTTCAAATAAATTCCCCGAATTTTTCGAAAAATTATTTTTTAGGAGATGAAAATCTTTTTATAAAAAAGGACATAAATCTTTTGAAAATATTTTGGTCTAAATGGCTAAATTCATAAATTTCTATTATCTTTCTATTAAATTTCTTTACATTAAATCAAACGTGCAGAAATCTTAATATATAACCTCAAAATTGACAGCTTATACCAAAAAGTAAACAACATAAAATGCAATAATCCTTAAGTGAAGTATTTGGTACAAAAAACATGTAAAATATCAATTCTGAGAAAAGATATACTGTCTCTTCGGAATCCACATATATTAGAGCTTCAAAAGATACGTGCCTGAATGACTTAAAGTATACAAAACAGAAATTACGACTTCCATGGGAAGTCGTCACATAAATACATGTAACGCTGATAACACACGTGTTGATACGTGCTTTGGCAACGTTGTTGCAAGTATTAAAAACAGTAGCATCGACGGTATTCTACACATGCATTCATTGATCGCCATAGAAATAATCAAAAAGGCAACAATCGAACAATGCAATTCATTTGTTATTAAAATCACACGTCGCACCACATTCGATATCTTGGTTCATTCTACTCTAATAACTCCTTTACCAATCCACCCAGTTTTAATCTCTGTCAACAGTACCGGCTTTGCGTCACGTGGCGACCATTGAACGATACACGAGAATGATTCATCGCCGAAAAGTGCTTCGAGTTCATGGCTGAAGGTCAAGTTCCTATTCCAGAACGTATTCCAGAGTGCAATTTTTAAGCGGGGCGAGATAAGGGAAAATTCACCACTGTCGGACAAGGAACGAGGAAAAAAACCGGCAACCGAGAATTTGAAAATGGTGTCGAGTTACCAGTTTTCGTACGTTACTCTTCGCGAAGATATCGTGAGTCCCGCGCGTCCCGTAGTCGGTTGTCTTCTTCACCGACAAACACTGATCCCTCCACTGATCCGAACGACGACAGAGTCGAGCATAAACTAAACTGGCTGCGTTATTCGCCAGCAAATGAGAGGTCGAAAGTTCCGCGTTTAGAAGAGGACTATAATGCGCCCAACGAGACACCGAGCGAGCAAACGTGAAAGCGACGGACGAAGAGGACACATGCGAGTTCGACATGTATCACTTGAACGAATCTTACTGCCTACTGACAGAAGAGCTGGCTATTATTCGAATAAAACTTTCGTCGAAGAATAACGAGCAAATACGCAGAAGACAGATGGAACGCTTTTTCGTTCCTTTGTTATGTATATTTTATTACTTGCATAATGATCCTTCAATTCGAATTGAATTTCGATTCAACATTTGCAAATAGTATATTTAAATATCCTCCTTACATAATTATCCTATTGAAGAAGAGATTTAATCACAAAGGTATGAAAATCGCAGCCTTCTAAATCTGGATGTTCTAAATTAAATCAATAATAATAACAAAGAAACGATGTACTTTGTAGGTAAAACATGTATGAAGAATAACAAAGAACAGAATTTAAAAGAGAGGAAATATTCGGCTTGAAGAACAGTATTATTAGAAAGAAAGAGTAAATAATGATTTTAGAGTATTGGATTAAAAATTTAATAATGCGAGCATGAATTAATATGTACGCCGCCATGTTGGTTACCGGCGATATTACGAATTTATTTCGATTAAATAATTAAGATTAAGAAAAGGAAGCAGTAAGATAGTTCTAAATACCGGTAAAATTGTACTAATTATAAATTTAAGAATTATATTAAGAGACTGAGCTTTAATAGACTCGGTAATACATTTTATCTCGTGTCTTATCATATACGACTGATTCTACTGTGATTAATTATATGCATGTGCAGTTGCAGAAAAATTTATGAATTTTTTGTAGAAAGATGAAATGTTGAAATTTCTCAATTTTGTTATTTTGAGACATGGATTTCAAAAAATAAGTTATTTTAAATTTGTAGATATGATAATTAATAGGTCATTTAATATCAAAATTACATTATTATGCATTTTAAAATGCATAAAACAGGGAATCTAAACTTAAATGGGCCTGTTAAATAATTAGTAACAAAAAAGGATATAAATGATTTATTAAGATAGTTATAAATGAAAAACATACAAATTTATAAACTGTAACTTAAAACTGATAAATAAACAAAATATATTTGATATATGACGTGTACTCTATAATTTACAATAACTTTACAATCACTTTAAAATTGAAACATACAGTTTTTACACTTATAACTAGTTTATAATATTTGTATTATTAAAATCCATTTAAATTGGAACAAAATATTCCAATTTAAACATTTATAAATTATTTACTTACACCATCAAAGTACATAATTTTTGTTTAACTTTAATTATCATTACTTATAAATTACCATAAAGACATAGAAACATTTATGTTACTGTAAACAACATAAATACACTTTATCTTCCATATATATATGATAGTAACATATTTTTAGACTAAAATTGATGCTACAATGCTGTCCTAACATATAAATTTTTTATGAATTCACATTATTTATTTCTTATACCTTTTTTGATTTTATTACTATGTTCAAACAAAATTATTTTCTCTTTTCTGTTAAACTTACTGTGTGTTAACGTGGCTTTTTTTGTCAAATCTCATGCAATATGGTTAAAGGGTGACATCACAACAGATTCATTTAAACCAAAAATTTTGTTTGTTTTACTAATTTAATTACATGGACAATCACTTACAACTAACATAACAAACCATATTTATTAAAATCACATCACTCATTCATACTATTATTGTCAAATGTACTTTATTCTTTGACGATTTCATTAGAATATTATACAATCTAACAATTGCAGAAACTTATTATGTAAACAATCAGTTAACTGATCACACATTTTCATGAATTTCCTAATGAGAAATTATTAATACATAAAATTAATTTCACTAATCACATATATCATTAATTGTACAATACAATGAAGATGATAAACCAAATAATAAAACAAAACATCTAATCAATAATATAACATGCACAGTCTAACCTTATATTTGGTAATATTGTTATCTCACAGCACAAGTTTTGAGGTAGATCTTGGTAATTAATTTTCCACAATAAAAATATTGCATTTTATTTACGCGAATTATTTCCAACTGTGTTTAAGTAATAACAAATTAATGTACTACACGTGCGAAACATTACATACTTTAAAAATTGTTCTATCTAGAAAGTTTTAATAAAAATTCCTGCCAACAGTTTAGTGCGTAAAAGTTATACCCCATATTTTGATCAAATAACACAGAATTTGAAATAGACAACAAATCGATATCTTTCTTTTAACAATAATTAAATATATTATTTTTAACAGAACAGATCTTTATTATATATTTGATAATAATTTTGTATAATTCCCTAGTTGATAAATTTCACTACTCTTGAAAAGATTATCGCTTATGATACCAGATGTCTCTGTGCGAGATTGAATTTATACAATTATGTATCTTTCTTTTCTGACAATTTTTTTATCAGTGTCAAGTACAAGCTGGCAGTGAAGTCAAATTTTGATATTTTAAAATGAGTACGGTAGATTGGGATGAAGTTAAAAGATTGGCCGCTGATTTTCAAAAAGCGCAACTCAGTTCTACTCTTCAAAAGTATGGGCTACTTTCATGGAATATAAATATTTGTTGCCTTTTCTGTTTTTATTTAGCAATTTTACATCTTCAGTTACGTTTTTTGTAAACTGATTTTAAACAGCTGTACAATGAAATTGCAATTTTTATGATATCAAATGAATTCAAGCTATTAATATTTTTACTGCTATAGTGAATATAACACATTTATAACTTGTTGCATGTTCAATAAATCTACGGTCATAATTATATTTTATATAAAACTGTGGAAATGTCATATAAATTATAATCTTCTGATTAACTACTTTACTACATTTTTAAAATTTTGTGCAGGTTGTCAGAGCGTAACTGTATAGAAATCGTAACAAAGTTAATAGAAAACAAGTTACTGGATGTAATATTTACTAATGACGGTAAAGAATATGTTACACCACAGCATCTTGGGAGAGAAATTAAAAATGAGTTGTACATTCATGGTGGAAGAATCAACTTGGTTGATTTGGCACAAATCCTTAATGTTAATTTATCTCAAGTATCGAAAGTGGCATCTGAAATAGAGAAGCACAGTAAAGGCCTTAAAATAATACTTGGTCAACTTGTTGATAAAAGTTACATGGATAGAATTGCCGAGGAAATCAATGACAAATTAATGCAACATGGCTGTATCAATGTAACAGAACTTACAATACATTATGATCTGCCAGCTGAATTTTTACAATCATTAATAGAAAAAGAATTGGGAAAGACAATATTTGGAAAACAAGACACACAAGATATTAAAGTTTTTTATACAGAAAGTTTTATAGCTAGAAACAAAGCTAAAGTAAGAGGAGCGTTATCAGCTATTACAAAACCCACACCATTATCTGCAATTTTAGGACAATGTTCTGTTTCAGAAAGAATATTCTTTTGTAAGTATATAACATAAGTTCATTCATATGTGTCAAATATAGCAATGCTTTTAGAATTTTAATATATGAACATGATTGTTGTTTACAGCAATTTTAGACAGTTTACAAGAAATGAAACAAATTCCTGGTATTATAGCAGGAAAACAGGGAACAAATAGTCTTTATATACCAACTATATATTCCAAAAGTCAAAATGAATGGGTAGATAATTTTTATAAACAGAATGGTTATTTAGGTGGGTCTTATACTTAACAATAAAAAATAATCGTCATGATATAAAATACTTTATATGTTAATTTTTTTTATTATTTGTTACTAGAATATGATGCACTCACTCGTCTTGGAATATCGGATCCACCGAACTTCATAAAACGTCATTTTCCAAATGAAAATATGATCTTCTTAGACTCTGTTGCTATTGGTATCAATATTATGGATCAAGTTGACGCAAATATTGAAGAAGCTGTTGCCACTGGATCATTTATTGATATCAGTCCCCTTCTACCATCTGTATTTACCGATAAAGATATGGAAATGCTTCTTAAAATAGCAGAAAAAAAGATGAACAACAATACATACATATTTGCAAAAACAGTAGTAATATCCGACGCATTTTTACAATCGTTAAGTAAATCGTTTGAGACAATTGCAGAGACAAAGGCGAGAGAAGCGGTAGCCAGCGGACAATGGTTTCAAACGATAGCAGAAAATAGGATTAAATCTAAATCGGTAGATCTAATACTTGAAAATAGGGCAAATAAAAAAGAAGAACGTCGAAAGAAAGCTACAAGTGGTAAAGCAGGTGGCGGTAGTCAGGGAAGAGAAACAAAAACGAAAACGACTAAAAAGAAATATTTACAAGGAAAAAATCGTGAGAATGAATCTGATGATGAAAATGTGAAAGTCAGTTCTGGAAAAATAGAACTTAAATTAGTTTCTCTAGAAGACATAACGAATGAAATTATGAAAGATGACAATTTATCAGTAATTGATGAATTAGTAGAAGAATTGGCATCATATTTGCAACCAAAAATAAACAATCACGCTATACATATGGCAGAACAATTAGCACAAAATAACAAAACTACCAATTTAAATGTAGTTGAAGAACGTCTTAATGTTTTAATAACAAATATGAGAATATTTGACAAAGGTATTAAGCATATGGATAAGACAGATCAGCCTGCTTTAACGAAGTATCTACTAAAATCTGTTGGTACAGAATTTGTGAATGAATTGTTTAAGTTAGCTGCACAACAAAATATGCTTCAACTTTCGGACAATATTACCACAGAAACAAGACAAAAGATGTTATTAGATGTGCCTGAAGATGTCAAGGAACCTTTAATGAATGTACACAAATCAATTGCTGGAAATTCCGTAGATGATTTCCTGAATGTTGCAGAACCAGCAATGGCAACTTGCTGTCTAGTATTAAAAAAGTATGATAAAAAGAAAGAAAGACCCTTTATTTTGGGTCATAGGGAAGCTTTACTAGAAGAACTTAATACTACACAGGATCCTGCACTGGCACTACATTTAGTCACGAGTATATTATTTACTGGCGTAACACAGAATGTTTTATACATGTCTGGAAGACATGTGTCCACTGTTCTTTCATTTCTTCAAATACATTTACTACCTTCAACAATGGAGATACTATCTAAGTATCATGGTACGAAATAATTCATAGTTCAAACATGTTATTAATTACTGTTGTACATATGATGTAGATGTATTTTGTGATTAAATTATTGTATATATTACAGATATGGTACTAAAAAGTTTAACTTCCTCGGATGAAGCTACAAAATCTGATATTCAAAAGGAGTTAGAAGCTGGGTTGGTAGAAATAAAAAATATTGCAAATAATTACAAACAACATTTAAAACTTGATAAACAATAACAATGAATGTTTATAATTGTACATAAATATAAAGTATTGCCTATTTGTGTAAAAATGTATTCCAGAAGTTTATATTTTGCAATAACTTATATTAAGAAATAAATATATTTAGTGGATAGAACATTAAAATAAAAAATTGCAGCTATAACTAAAAAATATTATACATTTTTTATAAATAACAAATAAAATTTATAATCTTTTTAATTAACTTGAAAATCTATTAACATGAATATCATTTTAATTATAATTTTCATTACATTTGTACAGTATAATACATTCATAAATGTACAAATTTTATATTCTCGTCTATTGCTATAATATCAGTAAAATATTATTTGCTTGATTTAAGATGTCAATAATATTTGGAATACCTTACATACATTTCTGAGTAACAATACACCTCGTGCACCATTCATTCTCAAACAGTTTCATGTTATAAAGTAGCTAATATTCTGGTAAATCCAACACATCCCGCTACAACAGTCTGTCCGATACCCCAAAGTAATGCGTACAATGGTGGCAGTGGATATCGAGAGGCTCTGTATACAAAAGCAACAGCAGCAGAGCTAAGAACTCCTGATGTTAATGGTAATAATATACCCATTATTATAATCAGCAATGGGAAGAATCTTTAAACCAAAATTTATTTAGTTACTTTATATTCTAAAAGAATAAAAGTACAAAAAAGCTTAATTTATTATTATTGGTATTCAAAAATAAAACATTAATACCACATTGAGAATGTGGAAATATTAATAATATGTATATTGTCATTATAGATTTATCAATTTCATTATAATAACTTCATACGTACTTTCCATATTTGTGTTGCCTTAATGTAGCAAAACAAATTGCACCAGCTATGGTATGAACAAAAATGGAAGAAAATAGAGCCCATAAAAATATCTGATACCACATTTCTGTAACAATTAAAAGGAACAAAAAAAAATAAGGAACACTAACTATTACTGATAGATAAAATATAACTATAGCTAATATATGTACATACCAGCAAACGAAGTTAAAGGTGTATAAAAAACATTGCCCGTATTCATATGTCTCAAATTGACTGGGGATCGCAAAACAGAAACATCTGTTTGCGCTTCCATCATAATGGAATGGTTTCACAAACTATAGATTCTATACAAACATACTAGGAAAAATGATTAAATCATCTCAATGGTATCTATTAACAACTGTAACCAGAGTATAACAGGTCTTTATAAAAGATAACATTCTTTTTGTGTTATGTCAGCCAAACAAAGATATAAAATAATATTCTTAAACCCTGTAATAATATAGAATATTAGGTATAATGTATGTAATGTTTTTATAAATTATTAATCACTAGAAATCTATAATCATTGATAATAACTTAATCTTCAACACTTACGCCTTCATTCTTAATTGTTTATATTGTATACGTCACATGAATATGTAAATTTCCATACTGACAAAAATTATTTTAACATCTAACGGTAAACTTTATACACATATAATATCATTTTATAAGTAACCTAATTCAACATCTGTAACAATTGTAATCATAATAACAATTTGAACTAATCGTATCTTAGAAAGTCAGAGGAATACGAAACATGTACAAGTTTCTAGCGCACTCTTACATACCTATTCGAAACTGTGTGAATCGATATCATGAACTATACAATAAAACAATTCTACGAACGATTTAATTAAAATTTAATTAAGATCGAATTAAAAGACGGATTTTAATGAAGATAAGTAAAAGTTCTGTATGTATTCTGCATATTTGTATGTGCAAATTTTTAAGTTCATAGTGAGATCAGTAGATATCTAAATTTGGCGCCATAAAAATTTCAAATGCACATATGGTTGTTTTTGGTTACTAAAATTACTTGGACCAATCAGAGTCAACATGAACCAAATAAAATTCGTCGTTTATATGATCTTACATGTAAAAATTTAATCAAATTCAATTCAAAAATTTATTTGCAATGAAAACAAAGAAAATTCTTGAGCTCAAATTGCATTCTAAGTATTAGAATAGATTTTCCAATTTCGGCTCAACAATTAATGAACTAGCTAGGGAATTTATATCGAATAATACATAAGTAGAAGTTGACAGTATTTGACTTGAAAAAGAGCGCGTGTAATTGAAATTTTTGATATAAAAACGATAAATCAGGAAGAGATCGAATATGTCGGACAGTGAGGCTTCTTCAGTGTCGTTTTTTGGATCTTCTTCGTTTTGTGAAGATGATGAGGATGAAGAGTTAGTGCTTTATAAAAGCATAAGAATGGTTAGAGGTTATGTTCGCTATTAAAAAATCTAGTTTCTTAGATGTTTACTTTCTCGTTCAATATGAATGATTCTCTTCTCCATTAATTTACAGATTTTACAAGATGTAGTGAAAGGAACGAAAGAGGTAGATACGAATTTTGAAAACTTAGAAAAAGATCTCGCAATTACATCCAAGTTAATTCTTGCTATCGAAGAAAAGTCATCGTAAATTATAAATTACTTCATTATCATTATACATGTAATATTAGTTGTATAAGTGACATATAATTTATTGTAAAAATGTAATGTAAATAAAATTTGAAAATTTATGTCGTAGTTAATATTTTTTCATTTGCATTGTATTTTATAATTTTTATAATAATTAACATTTTATTAAAGTTCTAATAACCTATTGTTCTTTTAATATAACATAATGCAATAGATTGAGGATGATACTACATTTCTGTCAACCTCGGCCATAAAACATCCGCTGATTGTGATTTCGAATTATCACCGCAGGTAATCAAATCGAACAAGCGAAAAAACTAATGAAAATAGTAGATGAAAATTGTAAAATGAATCATCAATTACGAGGAATACGTTATCTCATGAATAAACAAATCCTTTTCATGCAACCTTGAACATTGGTATTTTTGGTATTCATACTTATCACATTAACATGTTACATTGACACTTTTTTCGTGCTTTACGATAGTTTCCATGTAAAATTATTTAATTTTGTTACTTCATTGTGATTATATTACTTTTTTAATTAGGTTTTTTTTGTTTATTAATTATTAAAAACAAGTATTGTTACGAATATTTCTTACAATAAATAAATATTTCTGATTGATAAAACGAACGATTTGAAATAAAACTAGAAAAATTTTTAGAATTATGTCATTGTGGTGATGATATATAAAAATGGTGATATATTAAAATTTTTTTAAGCAATAATTTGCTCAATTCTAGTTTTTATTAATTTTGAATGTATTTCAAGATGATTTTACAAAATTTTTTTGGTTACGTAATGAAATTAAAGTACAGATATATATTTCGTGAAATTAATCTAATAAAAATTATACAAATTTGAACTCTAAATTTTTATCACTTACCAGTATAATTTTCCATGCTATTTCAAGAAGCTAAAGTTGTAATGGTATTCTAATAAAATTTCCAAAGATTTTCAAGCTGTTTACATTATAAACACTGTGTATATCATTAAAATCGTAAATTAGAAAGGGAGTACATGATTTATTAGTACAGTGCAGTGGTTCTCAACCTCTTGATTATTAAATAATGAAAAAATAAAATTGAAATTATATTCTATGAAAATTAAAAAATTATAATAAAAATCATAACAATTTTTATAACAAAAATTTAAAAAATTATAATTAAAATTTTCTTTTTATGAAATTAACATTGAAATTAATTCTATAAAATTAAAATTGAAATTAATTGTACAAAATTAAAATTGAAATTAATTCTACAAAATTGAAATTGAAATCAATTCTACAAAACTAAAATTGAAATTAATTGTACAAAACTAAAATTGAAATTAATTGTACAAAATTAAAATTGAAATTGATTCTACAAAATTAAAATTGAAATTAATTGTACAAAATTAAAATTAAAATTAATTGTACAAAATTGAAATTAAAATTAATTCTACAAAATTAAAATTGAAATTAATTCTACAAAACTAAAATTGAAATTAATTGTACAAAATTAAAATTGAAATCAATTCTACGAAATTAAAATTGAAATTAATTGTACAAAATTAAAATTGAAATCAATTCTACAAAGTTGAAATTAAAATTAATTCTACAAAATTAAAATTGAAATTAATTCTACAAAACTAAAATTAAAATTAATTCTATAAAATTAAAATTGTATTATATAAAATACTGTCTTCTTCTGATAATAATATTTAGTTATTTCACACTATGAGTAACTTATTAAATAATAAATTTAATTAACGTTAAACTTATTAGATAAAATAACCACTATTTAAATATATAAATAAAATCAGTAATTTTGATTTTAGACAAAAGTTAAAATAAGCAATATTTAATTATTTTTAACTTGAAACAAATTTCCAAAAAAATAATTAAATTAATTTTCTCCCACAAATAAGAAAACCTTGAAATAATATTAACATATAAAAAATAAATGTATTTAACAGTAAACTGACTCATACAAAAATAATTCAATAAAATAATAAAAATTCAATAAGATAAAAGGCAAACGAATTATAGTTGAAATGCGTACCAACGTTTTTGACAAATAACGTTATAGATAGATTAAAACGTGTCCCACAAGAAAAACTTGAAAACTACATTGGGTCCAAGTCATTTCACGGAACAAGATCAATTACCTCTCAATTTATTGTTCCCGTATATTTCCCAGGTTCCTGTCGGTTCCCGTCGGAGCTCGGCGGGCAAATAGCGTGGTCCAAAAGTTTCGACAGCCGAATGTCTTGGATCCAACGGAGGTGCTCGTTGGGGGTAATTGCGAACGTCTCCTTCCTGCTATGACCAGTTTCAATAAAAGTAATTATCGTGACAGTTCTTTCGAAGTAAAAATCGATGAGCATAGATGAGGGTGGAAGTAAATTGGGTACTATTACGTGTGCACAAACGAGACGCGCGGATAATGAATTCAATTGTTTGGTGTGGTTTTTATTGCCCTACTCCTAACTTTGCCGTCCAATCGGGGATAAGCGAGGGCGCCCATCGCTACATTCGAAATATATAAATGTGTCAATAACTGTTCCTCGTCACTCAGTCAGTATTTTTATTCGCTGCTGACAAACTGATTATTAGTGAATCCTTCCACAAACTCCGAAGGTAAGATTTATTCGAGCTTCGAAATGTACCCTGAACGTTTCCGAGGGTGACGAAAAGTTTGACACTGCATATTTTCTTATCGCGGTTTATGGTCTCGGAGATATCATCTCTAGATTAAGACACGTTAAAGGGCTCCGCGGAAAGAGGGCGCGAGATCATAGGGAAGATGCGAAGATTGTATAAGAAGTTGCATCATTCGGTTCGAAACCTCCTCCCGTGATGTGCGCTCCTAGAAAGCATCTCCGGCGCGATTATCTTTATCAAAAGTTATATCTCATAGCGGTACCGGGTCTCATATTTCTGCGAATTTTATCCACGTGTGACAATTACCCGTCGTGAGAAGGTAAGACCCCATAAACTTTCTGTCACGTGTTCTAAACCATCACATGTGGAATAGTGCGATATTAATCAGATTTTCTTCACGAAGTCGTTTCACCAATATTCCTCAATTTTCGGGTTCTGTTTCAGATCGCTGCTCGATTCGCTGTTTATTTTTTAAGAGGTTCTACATTCTTAAGTTTCAAGGTATTTAAGTTTTCTAAATCACGCGAATCGATACTCTTTTTCTTCATTAACTCAATTAATTTTATGTCGAGAAACAAATCGTGATTATTCCTCTGGAAACAATTCTTTATATATTGTAATTACTGTAATACTACGTGGATTAAACTTACTCAGTAAGTTATTATAACTTACTTACAAAGTTCAAAATAATTTTGTCGTAATAAATGTTATAGATAGTACCTTTTTATATAATAAGCACGATTCGTTACGCAAGAAATAATAATCGAGATAAGTAAAACAAACGGTCCTTTCCGTAATATGTTAAATATAGACACCCCGTTAAATGTAAGAAATTACTCGTCATTATGGGAAGATAAGACCAATATCTCGGAAGTTGAGGCCACTTTTAACTCCTCCTCGAACGCCTGTGAGCGTATTTGCAACAAAAAATCTTCCTCACACGTTACACCATAGCCACACCACGTCCCCAGATTCTCCCCTATTTTTTTGCACCGCATATGTGTTCATTAACGCGCGCGCGAATTCGTTTCCAAACATGTTGCCTCGTTAACGGGCAAGTTACTTAATCTTGTTTAAACGGTACGCGTGACCTTCCTTCCTCTCGTGAGAGCCCGAAAGAAACGAAAATGAAGAAACAAAACGGCGGGACAAAACGAGACGGGACGAGACCAGACGCCCAAGATAAAATTGTGTGTACAGCATCTAAATTTCGTCCGAGATATATACGTTTGTTTGAGGAAGAGAAAAAAAAAACGAGGTATATCCCGAGTTGTGCGAATCGGCACGACTCGCACGTTCACGCTATAAAACTCTTAACGGACGTGTCGAAGAGGAGGAATCGTGAGGCACAGATTAAATATAAAGCCGGCGGCGTTCGAAAGCTCAGGCATTCTTTGCGCACCCCGTCACGAGGATGCACACCGAAGGTATTCAGGTATATTTACGATAGATAACGAAATCATTAATTTGGTGATTTCGATGCCCTCTTTAACGAGCAAGCCATGCCACCCGCACAACCATCACACTCACACTCTCACACTTTTATTCAAACTCTCACCTCACATTTTGATCGAATGATCGATTGACTTTATAAGAGCTGCACCTTACATTTTGACTCAGACTCTGCGCAAAGTTCGCACGCTTGCTCAGACCTCGATTACAAAATCGCAAAGAATTCCGAGCGACATTGACGCGGAAATTCTGTGGAAATCGCGTCAGTAGCGTGGTAAATCACGAGAGTTTTATCAACGAAATTGTTGAACCGATAGAGAAGTGAAATGGGACGAAGGAATGCATGTTGTTCGTTAATACTGCAGATATTTAATTATCGTCGCGTTCTCAAGAGTTTAATTTCATTGTTGCCAATTGTGTTTATTCGTATCCTCGAGGAAGGTCGAATGAATCGATATTATAAATCGCGCGCACCTAACCGGACAATTAAATACGCGTTGTTATATATTGGATCGGGTGCCGTTTCTGCGAAAAGAGCGTGACGTTAATGTTCCTCAGCTTCGCTCTGATTCAATCATTGCACAATGTCCTTTCATTAAATCGGGTCTTTGATGTAACATCCCGTAACCGTGTTAAATGTTACTTTCTTTCGACGGGTCAACGGAGGCTGCTGTGTTTTCAGATGCGATACTGTTCCATGCTGATCAATCTTATTTGTGTAATCGGCTTGTCCTACACGGTTTCGGGACGTCCCTTCACGTTCCTGCCGCGGCATGCTGTGGAACGAGCTGCTGAACGGAGGAGTTTAGGCAGACAGATTGTGGAGCAGAACTCTAATTTCTTGACTCCGTTGTCTGATTATGGAACGCAGTCTTCGGAAACTAAGGTAACATTCACCATTTTTCGGAAATTTTTTATAATTTTTAAGTTGACGCTGGTTGTAAAAGTAACAAGTTTGGGGAATCATAAGTAGATTAGTAGTTTGGTGGATCACAAGAGAAAACACAAGTTTCCTACTTGTGAAAATTCTAACAATTTTTAACTTGACAATGGTTGTACAAAAAGTAACAAGTTTGGTAAATCACAAGTAGATTAGTAGTTTGGTGGATCACAAGAGAAAACACAAGTTTCCTACTTGTGAGAATTCTAACAATTTTTAACCAGACAATGGTTGTACAAAAAGTTACAACTGAATCTGAAAGCACAAGTTTTCTACTTGTGAAAATTTTTATAATTTTTGGTACCAGGTGAAGTCTGAGGCACCGGAAGTAACAGTTCGCACCGGTCGCCATTTTTCAGGGAGTCCCTGAATCTTACATTTATGGCAAATAAGTTAAAATTTGTTTCCATCCTTGAAATAGTCATATTACAAAAATGAATCTGAGTAGAATTAAATAGAAATGATGAAGTACTGTTTAAGTATTATGCACCTGTTGAATAAGCTGTGTCTACTGATGTACAGAAGTAGACTTATGAAGTACTAAATGTGTAGTAGTATTAGTACTAATATATTAGTAATATTAATATACTGGAAATGAAGATTTGTCTCCTCATATTATTTACTTATAAATCATTTTTGCTTCAAACTTCATTTAACTTTATCTACAATAAATTTCAATTTTGATATCTTACTTATTCTTAAAGTTTATTATAGTTTCTTACTCTTTCAATTTTCAAGAGACTGTAATAAACACAGGTTCTCAACAATTTTAAATATAATATGGTATTACAATGTACTAAAAATTATTTTAAGAGTGTTTCCTTTAAAAGTAATTGGTAAATAGAAAACACTATTCAGTACAATTGATGTGAACTACTAAATATTTGCTTATTATGCACTTAACTCAACTAACGATAAGTGCACTTAAATTACATTAACCAATTGTGTATTTTGATGAAAGTACAAGCGTCGAATAATTAAGTTTGACGGAACATTGGAAACCCTACAAATTGTTCGTAGAAATTGTAATAATACAATGAACAAAATCATACATTTACATTTTTAAATAAAACGTATGAAGAAATTTACTTATACACTTAAATTAAACAAGAAACACTCAAAGTTATAGATTAACAATAAATTAATTTTAGAGAGATATAAATGAAATTTAATTTGAATTTCTAGCCTGTGGAACCATGGACCAAAATCAACCAACATCCGGTGAACGGCATTAAGACAACCGTGGGGTAAGTGTATAAAATGTACAAACTTCTAAATACAATAGTAATTTAATCCAGCAATGTGCAGAACAAGCACCAAAAATTTAGACATTTGTAAATTTACAAAGAAAAATATCAAACTTTTTAATTTAAAGAAATTTAGAAATATAGACACTTGGTAATTTGGAAATTTAATAATTTAACAGGCTAACTTGCAAATTAAAACATTTTTAAATTTATAAATTTACAAATTCACTTGATTTAAAAATGTACAAATTATTTTTGAATATACAAACTTAAAAACTAATATAAAAACTTGAGAAATTATTTGAAAATTAGGAAACTTCAAAATTAAACTAAGTGATCTAACATTTATAACATGTAGGCTAAGTGAACAATTTTTTCCTTACAGGAGCAGAGTGGAATTGGAATGCAAAGCCAGCGGTAGCCCGCCCCCGGAAATTTTATGGTTCACAGGAAGCGGCACCAACGAAGAAGTGAATATCAAAAAAATCTTAACACTCGAACAATTAAATACAAAAACGATTAACATTTATACAAATGCAAAGTATTAGAAGAATTTAGAAAACAGTCATTGTTCTGGTGTTAACATCTCCACTAATGCAAATGAACAAGATATTAATTTCGAATATTTTTTCGCGACAGCTCATCGACTACGTCAAAGTCAGCACACATTCTTTGTACGATCCGTCCGAGGAGTGGAAAGGAGTGGCCAGAATTACTTCGAAGCTCGTGATAGAGTGTGTTACTCCGGATGACGCTGGATTGATCTACTGTGCGTCGGTTTCAGCAAGAGAGGTGAAGATATCCACTCCTACGGAGCTGCGGGTTAACAGTAAGTGGCATACAATTAACAATTAACTGTCAATCATTTAAATGTCCGTCCTTTATAATATATGTACCTCGTACCGATAACCACTCTTTACTTATGCAATTTTATTAATTGAATTGAACTAATTTCTTTGCAATCTCTAAATTCTTCAAGCAACCCAGATGAAATGGTCTTCTCTAAATTGAAATGAATCTTCTCTAAATTTTCTTCAAGCTTATTCTTCAAACTTCTAAATCTTCAGAGTCCAAATTTCTGAACAATTCCCAAATCTTCAAATCATTTTTCAAGTTTGGCCTTGAGTAGATTTGGTCCACATCCTAAAATGTTATAAGTTAATTAATTGAATTGAACTAATTTCTTTGCAATCTCTAAATTCTTCAAGCAACCCAGATGAAATGGTCTTCTCTAAATTGAAATGAATCTTCTCTAAATTTTCTTCAAGCTTATTCTTCAAACTTCTAAATCTTCAGAGTCCAAATTTCTGAACAATTCCCAAATCTTCAAATCATTTTTCAAGTTTGGCCTTGAATAGATTTGGTCCACATCCTAAAATGTTATGAGTTAATTAATTGAATTGAACTAATTTCTTTGCAATCTCTAAATTCTTCAAGCAACCCAGATGAAATGGTCTTCTCTAAATTGAAATGAATCTTCTCTAAATTTTCTTCAAGCTTATTCTTCAAACTTCTAAATCTTCAGAGTCCAAATTTCTAAAAAATTCCCAAATCTTCAAATTATTTTTCAAGCTTGGCCTTGAGTAGATTTGGTCCACATCCTGAAATGTTTAAAATTTGTTAATTGCAGGTGAAGGAGTTAGTGGTAATTGCAGTTCCGAAAGTGACCCAACAATCACCCTCTACTCACCCACATTGGTAGCTAATATAGGAGCAACCGTGGTGCTGCCGTGCAGAGCAAGTGGCAAACCAACGCCAGAAATTACTTGGTTGGATAATTTTAATGTACCTCTAAGTCTATCAACGAATTTGCGACACAGAGTGTTGGATAGTGGTGATCTATTGATAGAGGAACTCTTATGGAAAGACATGGGTGGTTACACTTGTCAGGCTAAATCCGGACATCGTCAACAAGTCGTCAGCACATTCCTGTACCCTGTGCGCGTAAGTTTTTTTTTCATCATTACAGTCACCTGAAATATATTATAAACATTTTATAATATAACTGCGATTGATCATACAAGATTTAAAATGTAGACTTTCGGTTTACAGCCGGAAAAAGAAGTTCATCGGACGGGTAACTGAAGAATTGCCAAAAACGAGCCTCAATTGCTTGGATTGATCTCCTTTTCATTGTACGACGTGCGAAGCATATTGGATAAAATACAGTCTTTTGCGCAAAGTTTCCGTGTTCGTGGTATTGTTTCAGTATACGCACTTTGTATAATTTTATACGAAAGCATCTCTTTTTTTTACTACTGACGTGCTGGAGAATTAGCAACGCTTTATGTTACTGTTAATGAAACGACGGACTATTTTATACTTAAAATTTTATAAACTATTTTAGGATGCCAAAGAATTTTGTATTTGATTAGAGTTCTAATTTTAGTGATTTAAGGTAGCAATTTTAAGCTATTTTAATATTTAATATATTTAATCTATGTATTGCGGTACCTCTTGAGCGATATTTCGTATAGTTTAAACGAATTATTTATTTATTGTGTACGTACAATAAGATCGAGAGCCGATCTTATAGGCAAATGTAATGAAGAATACTTCAGTTAATATTAAGAGAGTATCGTTATTAAATCATAAATAACCCGGTGAAAATTGTTGCCCTTTTGGCTTCGATTACTACTTCGTTTATTATTTACATAGTATTAATTATCATTGATTTTCTTTCGTTATTTTCATCATTTTGTTTCCTTTTTTTAACTATCGTAATGTATTATTAACTCGCTTTATTTTTACATATAAATAAATATATTTCCTTTCATGTAGTATTCATCTATTTTTTATCCTATTTCCCAATTTTTAGTTATAGAATTTTGTTTGAAGAATTTAGTTGTTCAAATCATGTCATTTGTTTAATAATAATTCAATAATAATTTGTCAGTATTATCATTGATAATTATATTGACAATTTTCATCTTTCATTTTTTTATAAACTAACATAATGTCACATTCAGTCAATTCATTTTATTTTAACATATAAATGTTTAATTTCCTACAAAATTCATAATTTAATTTAATCATTTTTAATTTAATTTTCATCCTATAATTTAATTTTTTAAATACAGAACTTTTTAGCATACTTTACATTTCATTTAGCAAGTCTAATCCAATGACCTTGTACATGATCATTAGGACATTCGATAATGCTTTATCATTTTAACTGAAAACACGTGTTACGCGTTCACAGAAATTAGCTGTTCAAAATGACGAAAAAATTGACAGCAAAAATTGGACCCTCTATTTTAAACGCTGATTTAGCACAACTTGCGGAGGAGTCACAACGATTAGTTAATAACGGTGCCGATTATTTACATTTAGATGTTATGGATGGACACTTTGTACCTAACCTTACATTCGGTCACCCGTTAGTAAAATGCCTTCGTAGCAAAATAAAAGATACATTTTTTGAAACACATATGATGGTATCTAATCCAGATCAGGTATGCTTAATTTTACTTGTTTCTATTGAGTGACAGACAATTTTGACTAATTACAGTAAACTAATGTTTATATTTTTAAATGTAACAAAAATCTTCTGTTGCAGTGGATAGAACCTATGTCTGATGCCGGTGTTGATCAATATACATTTCATGTTGAGCCTGTGAAGGATGTGCCATTAGTTTGTAGAAAAGTAAGAGAAGCGGGAATGAAAGTATGTAATTTATGTTACTGTTTATTTAACAGTTTGTAGCTTCCTCTATTTAACAATGTTTCCTTTTTTATATAAAAGGTTGGAGTAGCACTTAAACCCGGAACTCCAGTGGATACAGTTGCAGAATATGTTGATCTAGCAGATATGGTGTTAGTTATGACTGTTGAACCAGGTTTTGGTGGACAAAAGTTCATGGAACCAATGATGGAAAAAGTATCATGGTTACGGAAAAATTATCCTACATTGGATATAGAAGTTGATGGTGGTGTTGGACCAGCTACTATTGATGCATGTGCTAAAGTATGAGTATTAAAATTTAATTTAATATAACAGAAACATATGTAAAGAAGTCTCAAATATATAATATACTTTTTTAGGCTGGTGCAAACATGATTGTTTCTGGAACTGCTGTTATAGGTTCTTCTGATCAAGCTAAAGTTATAAGAACTTTGAGAGATACAGTAAACTGTGCAATACAAAGTAGCTGAAAATAATGTTAATAAAGTGTCAAATTAACACACCATGTACATGTTAATAACTTTTTATAATTATATACAATGTTTGGGTAAAAAAATAAAAAATACAAATCTTTTATTTGGTATAAATATTATTACTTACATTTATTATTCACTCATAATTCAATTATCTACAAAACTGTTAAATTGAGGATTTGGTAATGGAGCAACTTTAGAAGATAATTTTGTCCTTAATTCTGCTAAAGTAATCAGAATAGCTTCTTCTGTTCTAATTGTCCTTGACCCTTGTTGGGGACAGGTATTTAAATATTTATCAAATATTAAGGATGGATCATCTACATCCAAACTAGGATCACCATCCAATGCAGCCTCTAATCCACTTAACCCACCAAATACTATCAAAGCATGATGGTATTTTATACTTTTAACTTCTATATCATCAACAGACTTTCCTTTATCTGAAGTTCCAATTGTCAAATCATATCCATCCTCATAAGGACCTTGAGTTAATGCTTCTGTAAGATTATTTGCTAGTCTTACGTTATATCCCCAATATATACCACTTTCTGCTCTTGGAATGTTAGGAGGTACAATAAATCCTTTGATTTTTTTTGGATTTGGTTGGTCTGGTGGTATTTTTACAGTGACTCTTAATCCAGCTGTTAACACTTTGTCCACATGGACATTGTTTAATAATCCAACGTTAACATAAGAACCTTTGTCACCTTTAACTGGTTTATTTGTGATCACTCCTTCTCGATACAAAGATACATCAGACTGACGCAAATGATGTGGAGTATCTAACGGATTTAACACTCCAGCATATTGTAAATCTTTATGCAACGGGAAAAAGTACTTTCTCAAATATTGTGGACATTCGAGATACTGTAATATTCTAGCCAGCTGTAAACAGCCAATTCTTCTTTCACCTAAAACCTCGTCATTTCGAACTTTTTTCTTTTCATCCTCTGTGATTTCTCCTTTGTCATCAAAAACAACAATTTCATCTATTTGGTAAACGCAGGCTGCACGCGCTATTTGTCCTGCAAGATACGTTCGCAACTCTGGCGATTGAGCATTGTCCAAAATCGACCCAGGAACTGCAATACTTATCGTTGAAACATCTTTTTTCTCAAAATGTTCAACAGGTTTTGCTGCCTCTTTCTGCAACTCCTCAGCTTCTTCTTTCTTCAACTTTTTTACTAACCTCTCTTCACGCCATTTCTTTCGTTGCTCTTTTAATAAACGATTTGTTTCTTTCCAATTTTTAGCTGGAGGAATCACTGGCGACATAGCTCGACAATAAAATATTTATTATTTCAAATAAGTACATGTATACATATGTATCTTCCTTAGCTTGTTATTTTACCTGAAGTATGGCACAATTCTTCGAGATCTGTTTATGAAATGAACAACTTCAAAGTATTTATTTTATGTTCATTGAGTACATTTCATGGTTTTCAAATTTATATAAATTAAAAAGTATCAAACTATGACTACCGAAGAGGGTTTTGAACAGGTGTTTTCTAAATCTAATTAATTTTAATACTTGATTGTATTTTATACGAACGTATCATCTTTAACCTTCACTGTCATTTTTTAAAATCATATTTGGAACTCGTTTAGTACAATAACCTTTTTAGAAATATTAAAAATTTATTAATAAAAGAAATTACTATCGAAAAGTGTAAAGAAATATTTAATTATTATAGTTTGAAGATGAAGAAGCTGAAATTCCGATTGGTGGAACATTACCTGGCGGTAGGAAGCGATTATTTTCAAAGGAATTGCGTTGTATGATGTATGGTTTTGGTGATGATCAAAACCCTTACACAGAGAGTGTAGATTTATTAGAAGATCTAGTTATCGAATTTATTACTGAAATGACACATAGGGCTATGGAAATTGGACGCACTGGACGAGTGCAAGTTGAGGATATTGTATTTTTAGGTAGTATTAGTATGAGAAATTATTTATATACGTTTGTAACTTTAATTAATTAATAACAATTTTATTTTACAGTCAGAAAAGATCCAAGAAAGTATGCGAGAGTAAAAGATTTATTAACAATGAACGAAGAGTTAAAGAAAGCTAGAAAAGCATTCGATGAAGTTAAATATGCAGGTACTGTTAATCAATAAATTTTTTGATGTTCTCTCAGTATCTATAGCATATGACAAATAATTTTTTATTTTGCTTGAATATTTTGTTTTATTAGAGAATAGTTCTCATGGTCTTTCTTTGTTCCTTTGTTTGTATTTTTGTAAAATTTACTTCAAATTTATGTTCGTGATTTTGAACAATTTGAGTAGAATTTGTTTAGACATAAATAAGCTATTCTTCAGAAATATTTTGTTGACAATTATATAATGCTATCATTAAAAATAAGCATTGCGTTGCAGTAGTTGCACATTTAGGGTTTATAAATGTGGAATGCTATGTGCTTGTGTGCTGCATTTTAGTTCTTCATGCTTTTCTACATACTTTAGAAATATATGGAAAATGGTGATGTATTTAAAATCGCTTAGTTCCTATTATTATACAAAAAAAAGTTATGTATAGCAGTACATAAGTAAATGTCTATCCATAATGTATTTCGTAATAATAATTATATACAAGATTTCATTTTAATTTTTTCCATCTTGAACTGCATGTAGTACCATATTTATACATGTATATCAACTTCGAATATAGGAATAAAACTTCATATTTTTATTGTAAGTTTTTATTTTATAAATAATTCATAGTTTTTATATGTAAATAAGAATATAAATATACACTTATATATGAATGTAAACAAATATTGTATTGGCGATAAAATTATTTGTTAATTTTTAATTATTTAATCAATTAGTTACTTAAGATATTATGACTTAGGATAACTGTTCTTTATAATTATTTATATAAAGCTATTTTATATAATTTGTTATATTTAGTTTCTCCCTTAATTATCAATATTCTTATTATTTTGCAGATTGCTGTTTAAGTTTTTCTTATGCAACATGTTTATTGAACAATGCATGCTTCAATTTAGGTTTATTTGTAGCTTATATTTTCAAGGATTTTGGCTTGTTAGCTATTTGTTATATTATTTTTCTGCATGTGTATTATTTTATTTTTTAATTGTAACAGAAATCATTATATTTGTTTGATTAAGTTTCATTGAAATTTAAACTTTATAAATTTATAATAACTAATTGATATCAGAAACAGCTTGTTTTGCTGACAGAATAACGTCAGGGACTCCTACAGCTTGGTATGAAGAGCCACACAACACTAATGGAATTTTATGCGCGGCGATATATTTGCGGATACGATTTAGTCGTTGTTCATGACCTAGCGTGTACTGTGGTATACAGTCCTTCAAAATGGAGACGTGAAATGCCTTGGGATCCTCATCAATGCCTAAAATTTCCTTCACATATTTGATTGCTACGGTTTTGAACTGTTCTTCTGATGAACATTCACTAAAATACTGTTGGAACCATGCCCCTCCCATCATTACTGTCAGTACCTGGATTTAAAAAATTGTAAATATTCAGTGTTAAGAAGTTCTTCTAGTCTAACATTTAATTACACAGGATTCAAGTTTATATGTTAAGGATCAGTTTGTGTCTTTGCAAAAATGTGGATATTTTCAAATATATTTCCAGAAACAACAAATTGAATCAAGTAATGTGAAAATTATATAGGGACAAAAAAATAGGTAATAAATAATTTATATCTATACATACTGTCATTTTAGAGTTTTGAGGAACAACACATGAATCAAATAGCACACCTAGAATGGGAATCTTTTCCTTTGGTGGAACAAGAACTCCAAATGCACTTATAGGTAAAACATTTTCAGAAAATTGGAGATTAACTACAGCTATTGATACAGTAGGTATACTGCATAACTCCTTGGATAGATGTGGATGTTGTTCCTGTACTAAATTAGCTAAATTTTTTGCAGGCAAACTTGAAATAACCTGGGAATACTTTTCATTTTTTCCATTTACAGTTAATTCTACATAATCTTTGTTAAATGTTAATTTTTCACACGTATGTTGCATTTTTATATTTATTCCGCGTTCAGTTATATTCTTAGCAAGTTTTTGAGGCAGTTGTTCAAAACCTCCTTCAATTCCCCATATGCGCCATACTTCTGTTTTAGCTCTTTGCACTAATTGTGAAGGTGGTTTATTTGGTTTTATATTTATTTCAGTATCAGTTTCAGGTTTAGTTTCCGTTTCTTTCTTTTTTTTTAAAATTTCATGAAATTTATTAAATATAAGGCCTTTCACTATACTACCATGTTTTTGTTCTGCTTCAAATAAACTTGTCATACAAGACTTTGCACTCAACTCATGTATATCACCTCCATAGATTCCACAAAATACTGGAGCAATTAATTTTTCTGGCAAATCTTTACCAAACCTCCTTTCCATAAAATTATATACACTTTCATCATCTTTAGTAACTTTTCGTGCCTTAAAATCCTTCCACAAATGATAAGTTAAGGGCCTATTTAATAGCGTATTCTTAGTAAACAATCCACTGATACTATTAGGTACACAATGCAATGCATTATTTGAATAAATATATCGGTTTCGAGCTGCATCATGATTATATTTAACAGGTATAATTTCAGCTGATAGTTCTAATTCTTCTACTAATTCTAATATTTGTAGTGAATTAGCTCTAATTACTCTTGGACCTTGTTCAAAAATTGTTCCATCAGGTTGTTTCAAGGAACGTATCCATCCACCTACACGATTTGAGGCTTCAAATATAACTAATGAAGTTATCTTTGGATTATTAAGACCATAATATGCAGCCGATAAACCTGATATACCAGCACCCAATATTGCAGTCATTGTTATTGGGCTAATAAAAATATATTTTATATTAAAACTATGAGTATTATGTATTCTAAAAAATTAAGACTAAAAATAATTATACTTCTTCTTTTTTAATTACTTAAATTATATATTTTTTTTCAAATAGAAAAAAAATATAGTTAACAGTTCCTTTTTTTCTTTATGCTGTATTATTATTATATTCGCAATATTACATTTTATTAATAACACAAAACGTAGAGTTACATATATATATAAAATAAATATACTAATGATAGATTTAATTCCATACGGATTTTGCTGTATTACAGACTATTCATGATATCAGCACAATTCACATATTGCTTGTACATATGAATAATTATAGGTTATGTAAAGGATAGGTTATGTTCGCTTTCAGTATAAACATAAAACTAACAATGTGTCAAACAACAAATCTAAAAAGCTAATCTTATTCGAATTATAAATTGATTGATTTTGAAATTTTGTTCTTAAGTGTTTTAAAGAATTATATTTATACTTAATTGTATATAAAGAACATTTTACATTTTGTTAATGTTACACTGAAAATAAGAGGATAAAAATGGAAATATTGTCCGTGTGCGTCATTTGCTAATTATGATGCATGAATGATTAATTTGCTATTTTGATATTCTGACTTTAACGTCAACTTCGTATTCGCGGCTAGGTTTTATATTTAAATAATTACGTTAAATCAGTATATTGTAGTTACATAATGCAATTTGTACGGATTCATATCGAGTTTTTAACGCGTTTAGTACAACACGCAATTGTTTAAATTTGTTAAACTAAATTCTGTTCAATAACTGAAACTTATAACAAGTTTATAGTATTACATCTGTCTGGATCTGAAAAATAATTATTAAAATGAAAGACGGCAGCAGATTGTTATCAGTTCTTCTGCGAGTTTCTGAGAAAGCAGCAAATATTGCAAGAGCTTGCAGATACAATGATGCTCTCTTTAAGCTGCTTGTACAAGAAAAATCAGAGGAAGAAAAGAATCCTCGTTTCTTTCAAGATTTCAAAACCTTAGCCGATGTTCTAATACAAGAGACAATTAAACATGACATTGCATTAGAGGTAAGGTAATATAATGTTTCATTAAGTTACCTATATTTTGTAGTAAATTTCAGAATTTACCACTTTGATAAAATATATTGAGTTGGTTGTTTAAATAGAAAAACATTTATAGAGAATTAGTTTCCAGAATTGGCCAAAGTAGTACAAGGAGAAGAAAGTAATACATTTAGTAATGCTTTGGGTGAATCTATAGTGGTCGAAGTTTGTCCTACTGCAGAGGAAACAACTCAATTATTAGCCAAGGTAATGGGTAGTGATATTGCAAGTGCAGAATTATTGGCCACAGAAGTCCACAAAGATGTCCAGCTATTAGACATTCCAATGGTAGCAGAATTACCATCTGATTTTGATATTAATGTACATGATCTTGGTATATGGATTGATCCAATTGGTAAGAAACAAAATAATATGATTTAAATATTCCAAAGTTAACTAGTATTATTTGTATATAACAAATATAATAATATTAATTCTATTGTTTGTCTTGAAACACTGTGTGTGGGAAATTTATATGGTAAATATTTTTATTTGTTTAATCTTATTTTTCTCCTTTCACTATGGTTTTATTAGTAATTTATGTTATTATGTAAAGGTAAGCAAATTATCTGTTAAATCCTTTATTTGTTTTATAGTTTAATAAAGCATGCCTGAGGAGCAATTCGTGGAACTTTTCTAGATTCAACTGCAGATTATATAAATGGAGGTGAAAATGTGGATGATGTCACTGGAGTACATTTGAGCGGTTTACGCTGTGTTACTGTTTTAATTGGAGCCTACTTAAAGAGCACAGGTGTTCCTGTTGTGGGAGTAGTTAATCAACCTTTTTACACGAACATAGATTCACAGTAAATAACATAAAACTCATATAATTTGTGTTTAATAAGGTATTATTATTTAAATATATTTCATCATTTATTTAATAGGTGGAAAGGAAACTGTTATTGGGGATTTGCGGAAAATGATATTAGAAAATGTTCTATAGTCAAAGAACCTGATGATAAAAAAATAGTTGTTCTTAGTAGAATGGAAGATGAAAATGTAAAATCGAAGTTGTTAGATGCTGGATTTACTTTGGTAGAAGCAGCTGGTGCAGGTTATAAAATACTAAATGTTGCTCTTGGACATGTTGATGCTTATATTTTATCCAAAGGTTCCACATATAAGTGGGACACTTGTGGTCCACAAGCCCTTTTGCGTTCCTTAGATGGAGGTATCATTGAATTTCGAAGTTTTATAAATGATTCTGATTCAGAGTATTTGGATATAAAATATTTATCTACATCTTCCAATTTTTCTAATAGCAATGGTTTAATTGCATACAGAAATTTTGAAATTCTGCAGACCTTGAAGTCCATTTTATGCAAATAAGTGTTTGTGGGTATATTTTATATATATGTATTATGTATTAATTGTTGCCAGTGTTTCAAGATATTTTTATTGCATTTAATATTAAATGCAGTTTTACGTAATTAACAGACAATTTTCACTTTGCTTAATTTTAGATTGTTTTATAGTATTGTAACAATTTTTATTATTTAATAATTAATATAAATGAGAATATTTGTAGCATTGAATATAAAATTTGAGAGTTGTTTATAGTATTTAAATGTTGTTATCTGAAAAGGAAGTTGCTTCTTTATGATGTGCAAGTAGATCGATGTTCATACAAGCAATGCTTCCATTTTCTTCTTAATTGTTACATATGTGTCCATAATATATATTTGTTGATAAATACATAGTAATAGGCTTTTATCAAAATATGGATATTTTTTATGAACTAAAAAATGAATGTATAGCAAAGTATTAATGGTACTTAAAGTGAAATAATTATATGAATCATTTTATTTATTTTTATCTAATGTTTAAATTTTGTAATGATTATATGATTGTGATATGAATACAGAATTACAATTGTAAAATTGTAAAAGTTGTTTAAAATAAAAGCTACTGATAGAATGAATTTTATTAAAATAATCAATTTAAAAAGTTAGATACCTTTTGATTGTCTGCTTCGTGCACGCGCACGGTGCTGAATGACGCTAGTGGTACTATTTTCAGACAGCGCGCGAAAATATGAATTTCAAAATGCTTATTAGGATAAGACTTTCAAAATGCTAGTAATTTTTTAAATTAATTTCTTTACAACAAGTTATTGTTCATATTTTATTACTAGGACTGTTTGATTGAGGCTCTCCGCACCTAACCTAACAATTTTACTGCGCATACAAAGGGCAATATTTCGGCACTTTGATGACGTAGTATGGTTCCTGAGACATCTAGAAACAAATTTCTATTATGGTTTGATGCGTTTTGATGCCTAATAAAGCCAGAAAATCAATTTTTGTCGAATTAGGTCCAAAACGGTACAGGTGGCGCCATCTAGCGGCGAGCGACAGAACCACGAAAAACTAAAATTACAATTTTCTCCGAAATTAGACAATTTTACGTATTTCTGAGAGTCAGAAATTGTTCTGTGACCTCTCTAGAACCTATATAGTACCGCAAGGACCTCCTCAGAGCGTTAGAAAAGAAAATAAAAAAATAGGTCAAAACATGGACTAAAAAATTGGCGTCCATCTAGCGGTGAAAGTTGGAACTACAAAAATATAAAAATGCGATTTTCTCGAAAA